GTTTGACGCAATATTTAGTGGCTCTAAAACCCCACCATGGCTGTTGTTGGGGTCCTAATATAACCCAATCTATGGTAAACTTAATGTTTGATTGTGGCAGAGTTAACATTCAAAGATCTCACCTGTGTAGGCAGGGTAACAGTTGCACTTTAATATCTGGAACTGTCCCTCTAGGAACTCAGCCTGGGTGTTGGTGGTGCTGCAGGTCCCATGTTGACTACAGACTGGACACACAGCTATGGCAATTCTCACAATTGGGGAATATGCACCTTTAGAATCCCTGGCTTGAATGCTGTAAATATATCAGCAATATTATATAAGTTTAGCATGATACTATGCTTCTGGAAGATCACCTGGGGCACCAACTTTCTCAGCATGAGATAAAGATATTACCTTGTGAATTAATTAGTCATAAGCCCCTTCAGTCAGGTGTCAGAACTTGTTGGCTCATTCAGCCCCAACCAGCTCAACATGTGTTTATTGGTCACTCCTGGCATGATATACCTCTTCTAAACACTTTGTTCCCCAAGCAGCTGTTAAAACACCATGTGCTAACTCAAAAGTTACTCTAATCCTTTTGGTGACTGTGGCTAATGTAACCCTCCGGATTTCAACAATTATCACTGTAGGTTAATCAAACAAAAAATACTCAGGCATCAAGTTCAGTGATACAATTATAACACAGTGAAAAGAGTCACTGTATATACTCTTTCTCAAGTCAAATCATACAGCAGTTACAGTGTTATAATGTTGGTTCTTAGTAATATAACTAGCATTTTATAAGTAAAACAGATATATCTTTTTTTTTAAAATATCATTACTGATGAAATGTGCATATGAAATTAATAAAGATAGTTAAAACCAGAATCACTCAACATAAGATGATACAGAGGATAAAAGACGTGCGATATATTTAGTACAAGTTAATGATTTGTGGAATTTTAAAAGTTAAAACATGTTGGTTGACATGTCCTTGAAGAGGTTTTGCCAGTAACTTAACTCTGTCAGTCCCAGACAGGTAGATGACCACAGCAAGTTCAACAACTGAACAAACAGGCTACCTACCCAAGACTGACAGGAGCTTGAAGATTTGGTGTGTAGGTGACAGTTCCATTCTGGTAAAGCACCACACCAGTGGCATTCTCTAGCAGCTCATAAGTGACTTGATCACCATCACTATCATGTGCTTCCACTCTGAGAGAATTTGGCTTGCCCTCAGTCACCAGCCAGCTGTTGTTTTTGATGTTGTTGTCAGCTGAAATCCTTATTGTGGGTGGGGTGTTGTCTGTGGATAAAATAACGAGATGCTGCACAATTTTACATTTTCACCTGTATCTTTCACACAGGGACGACAATGCAAGTATGTGCTACATGCACACACTTGGCCTGTTCCAGGTGCATATTCAAAAGACTCGCATAGCTTTATTTTTCATGCGTTCCAACTTCTCTTTTGACTATTAGATAAAGTGAACAAGACCAAACCATACTCCATCACTGAAATAATCAGTTGCTGGTAGAGCATTCTCTGTTCAACGTCCACTGATGCCATCACCTTCAACGCTTTGAGTTCTTTCCTTATTTGTTAACACTAGCTCTTCCATGTGGCTTTTGAACAGAATCCTATCAAAAGTTATACCAAGATATTTCACTGAATTCTCTCTCTCTTTATGTTACTACCATTTATTGTGATGTTTGGAACATCAGGTCTAACAATTCTATTTTTGAATGAACACCACAATACTGCTGCCTTATCTGGGTTGATGATAGAACCTGACTCCTCACACCACTCTCCTACCTTGTCTACAGTGTTCTGCAGTTTTCTAGATATTTCTGCTTTTTTCCCCACTGTCTGTAGACTAAACATCGTCAGCAAAAGTAAGAATTCTCCCCATCCCCACTGCCTCTATACTGTTTGTGTATACACTGAAAAGCACAGGGGAAATGGCGGACCCCTGTGAGAGCCAGGTGCGATTAGACAGGGTTCAGAACTTCACAAGCCTAGGTGAAAAGTAGTCTGACGTTCATACAGGACAGCTGCAATCCAACTGACGAGCCAGGGACATACCTCCATATCCTGGCAATATCCATTGTGGTCACAGTTCTATTCTTTATTGTTAGAAGTAAGATCTTCTATAAGTGTGGTTAAATGGAAACAGCTATAGTCAAGACCCACCACACCAGTGTTATTACATTAACCCTGTTCCACGTATGCAGGTCAACATACACTATTATTTCACAGTGATTACAAAGATTGTGCCTCAGATTTACATTTACACTTCTGTGCTTGTGAACCACAGTAAAGACTTGTTAGGTAAATGTATTATGAAGAATAAAAAGGTAAAGTCTGGAGATGTGAACCAGCGTCATTGCACATGGTTATAAACCATAAGAGCTCTGCCACCAGTACGGACAGCTGATAAGAAACTGTCCACCTGTGTCGCTGTCCGCACTAAAGAATATGAAGAATATCTAATGCAATACATCCATATCAATGGAGTATGGAAACAGAATTATCCCATGCTATATACAGCAAGTTTTGACATACAGCTGTGAATACTGAGCAATTAATGAACAAGCTAAACAATTTCTAGAGGTCTCAAAGATGTGGTTTTATAGAAGAATCATTAGAATTCCTTGGAGAGCAAAAAAGAGTAACCCAGATGTTTTGAAAGAGGTGAGGGTCCGAAGACAGCTTATTCCAAACTTCAGAAAGAGAGAGTCATCATTTGTGGTCATGTTATAAGAATAAATAAATCGGAACATATTGTGACCACTTGAAAGAACTGTGGAAGGATGGATAGAAGAAAACAAAGTAAGATGATTTTTGACAGCCTTTTGTCGTAGCATGGAAGGGTGTCAGCACACTGTGTTGGAGATCACAGGTTGTGGAGAGGCACAATTGTCCATGTCTGTCAGCAAGGCACTTTGTGATGATGATGATTATATTCTTGAATACACAAAATTCACGGGGAAACCAATAAAAGTATTAATACTGAAAATTAGCTATGAATGCTTTTTATTTAACCCTTTCGCTGCTGCGCCCTCCGCCAGTCAACGTAACCACTGTGCTAAGCCAGGCGAGAGCTAATCTTTCCCCCTGTGCTGAATACCGTTTTTTCCTTCAAAAGCAGAAGACGCGCTTGCGGCACGGGATAAAATTTGTACACCTCAAATAAAAAATCGTTGAAGGCGTGTGGTTAAACTCTGCGCTGACAAGTCAGACGCGCTATTACTACACTATGAAAACTAATTAACAAAAAGAAAACACTACAAACTTACAAAGCAAACACAAAACACTTTAGTAAGCAAATACATGGTTTTTATTATTATTAATAATATCTTTGTGTGTAAAATATATTTCAAAACAAGGTGCGACACACAATGCCAAATCACATTCCTTGCACATGTATTTCTCTTACTAACATTAAGTGAAATTCGGCAACAGGTGTGTTTTTCCCCACAACAACTTTATATAATGAATGTGCACAGTACACCAACCACGCTTCACAAAGGAACAGGATAACGTGTAAAGCATCTAAATCCACCTGAATGCACGTGACAGGATGTTTAATTAATTATTACTTCGGCGATCTGTTGCCGAAAATGCTAAGAGCTTAAATTTAAAATTTGCATATAAAATAATTAATTAAAAAAAAAAAAAATTAAAAAACGGCACGTAAGGGTTGAACGCTGGACCTTTCGATTGCAAGGCAGACGTGATACCAACTACACTAGATATTCGCATGAAACTATGAACTGAAAAAAAGACCAGTATTGTACACTTTAATAGACAAACACATTTATGTCAGTTGTATAGTGTATAATTAATATTAATCATCACGTCAGTACGTGACCATATCTTTATTTTGATTATTTTGGATCCGTTTCAAATGCAGTCGATGTAGATAGCTAGGTCATATGGTCACTGGTCAGTCTTGTTCACAGCCAGAAGTACACGTGTCCACCGGCGTGCTGCGAAGATAACCCAGCTCATATAACTCACACGTTTCAAAGTGATCCTTACTACTACTCCTTGAAAGAAACTCCATTAATTCTTCTTTATTTAAACAAATGCTCTTGTTATTTTGTATTTAAAAAAAAAAAAATTAGACTAACGCAAAACCAGAAATATATTTCAGGGCAAAAAAATTACCGTTCACCGACAATGCTTCTATGGTAACAAAGCAACAGGATAACATGAAATGCATCTAATTACGCCTAAACTCACTTGATAAGGGTTTTAATTGTATGTAAACGGGTCAGTTTGATCAGATTAAGGTAATGTGTATTGCTATTTCACCCCTTAGAATTACTGTTCTTAGCAATCTGTAAAAAAATGCCAAGGACGAGATATCTCGTCCTTAGCAGTGAGGGTACAGAAAATGGCAGCCGAGTTATCTCGTCTTTAGCAGTCTGACGGGCAGACGAGTTATCTCGTCCATAGCAGCGAAAGGGTTAACTGCAATGATAAATGTTCCTATTTGCTCTATTTGGGGGGGGGGGGGGGGGGGGGTGAGAAAAGAGAGGAAGGGGGGGGGGGGGGAACTAGGTCCACCTCAAGTGCTAGAGGTACTGGGTTCAATCCCCAGTAAGGGCTGTGATTTATTCATGTGGACTTGGACTTCTAGTAATTCCCCCTAGTTTCTGGGTAGTGAGATCGGACGTTCTCGTGCAATGTTGTGCATGTACAAAAATCTACCCAAAGCATTTCAGGATCCTCGCCGGTGCTACAGAGCCTGTGCACTGTGCGTAACTTCTTTGGACTCAGAATTGAGTTAGAAGAAAAACGGAGCATTTATGTGTTACTACCCATGTGCCATGATGTTGTTCAAACCTCAAACTTCAAACCCCTGAGACCTAAAGGTAAATAAGGGGACCAAACCAATGGGAAGTTGCCCCCCACCCCCCAAGTTTGCTGGTTGGCTTCTTCCTGTTCACAGTTATAGTAAAAGGTTATGAAAGAAGGGTTTTGATATTAATAAAGTTCAAGTTGTACTTACTGAAACTTTGTATTTTAAAGTCATTGGCTTCCTTGCCATCTTTTGTATTTCTTGCAAAATCGGTACTCCCTGTAGCTATTTTGTCATAAATGCAGGCTTTATTGTTGTCCCCACAAATTCTCTTTGCCTCTGCCAATCGATCTGGATCAGTTTCATCCACAAACAGTGGGACAAACTCTGGATGCTGATAGTCTTTAGTGCTCTCCCCTTTGTTGTATATAAATACAGATGTGGCCTCGGTTACCAGGTCTGCAAATATAAATGACTAGGGATAAAGCTGGTTCTTCATCATTATATTATGTTATTTTTTCAATCTGACTATATTTTGGGTTCATTACCTTATTGAACAATAAATATAATTGTTCTGCCTTCTCATGTCACATATTTAACACAATATCTCTCCCTCTATGATCACAATGTATATTATGTTTTCATGTATTTTAGGTTTTATAATTACCAGTTATTTGCAGTTAATGTGAGATTCTATGAATCAAGTAAACTAAGACTGAAATAGGTACCAGGAAATGTCCTGGAAGTAAAGGCAGCTAGAACTTATCACAGCTCACCTCCCGACTTCGAGTTACCTCAAGAATTCTCCCAAGCGGACAGCTCAGCCGATCACGACTCACACAGTCATCTGTCCGTCTGACCCGACCGACAGTTCATGTAAGGTCATTTAGTATAGAGGTTAAGAATTATGACTATCATACTCCTTGTCCCATAGTTGGACCATGCTACAGAGGGCCAGTCCATGGATCTTGCGGATATTGTTAATGCCATTAGAGAGGTAGAATGCTCAGAGGATTTTTGGAGCAACTTTTTCACATCATTGCTAAGAGTACAAGAATTGGGAATAAAGATCGGCACAATCAGGCACAAGAAGTCTTGTCAACCAACATAAGACTGGGACCATCAACCGCAGGACGCTGCTGTATATGTTGAAGGGAGAATCTGAGCACCTATGGATGTGTCCAGAGTGTCATGAAGATAACCTTAAGCATAACTCATAATTCCTTATGTTTTCACCTTGTAATACAATCACTCAACACCTGTCAATACATTTTGTCTTCACACATTTACACATTTCATTAAATTATGTTTAACGTTATAAACACTTTATCTCACAACTCTCATTACAGATTAAAGGCCATTAACTTCATTGCACTGGACACTTTTGGTAAACAAACAAGGTAGTGGGACAGCTTCTTCATTTATTAGGATGAAGGGTGTTTTTTCCACCAGATATGTGTTTGAAGTAAGATTCGGAGCGTAATGGGATTTTGAACCATGCTAAAGAGTTTCATCAGCGTCCTGTGGTGAAATTTAATTCATAGAAACCAGATGACTGGCGAAAAGGACAAAGACTGGCAAGCCTGCTGGTGCAAACCTGAAACAGTTAAAATGTGACAGGCTGAGCCTAAAATACGTTTGTGTATTGTGTTGGAACTGTGCCTCCATTAACCAGAGATTACACATTTTTTAAACACTTTTTTACGGCAATGACATTGTAGTCTTGCGGGAAACATGTCTAAGCAACAGGACAGTCAGAGCTGCGGGTTTTTGGTGCTTCTACAATCGCAACAGCTTAGTGGTGTCGAAAACTGACATGTTTGAATGAAACAGTGATGTCCTGAAGGTGCACTCAGTAATAGTGCTGGCCCCTTCCCAGTTCACGATCGGCAATGTTTACGAGTGTAATGGGGAGGTCGACGTGCGGCAGTGGCAGCGTTTATTTGCGCCCGGGGAAGGAAATATTTATTGTGGAGAGTTTAATGCCAGAGGCAGCCAGTGGGGTAATGTCACCACCAGTAAACAGGGGGAAGATCTGGAAGAGGCCCTGATATCTACTGAACTAGTGTGTTTGAAAGAGGGACAAGTCACTAGATTAGCCACTCGATCAGGTGAGTCTGACAGTGTGATTGACTTGGCTTTTGTTTCACCCACAATCACCCCTGTTTGTAGATGAAGTACACTGGGGTATCATGATAGCAACCACCTGTCTTGTGTTGTCTTGGTTCAGAAAAGCAGAAAAAGCAGTCAGAGAAACAGAATAAAACTCTCCAGTATCATAGCACAGGACAGGATGCCATCAGCAAGGTTAGACATCAGGCTTGTGTGCTTCAATGAGCTCGGTGGGCCGAGGCAGGTTCCATTCACAGACAGTGGACTGAGTCATTGCAAAACTCTCCTGTGTGTGCAGTTACCTTCCTATTTATTGCCAGGGATTCAGGTGTTGTTGGCAATGAGAGCTGATAGATTAGCAGGTTCTCCATTAGTTGCAGATGGTCAGCCTTTGGATCATGCAGACATTTTCAATGTCCTTATATAGGGCATTCTGAGGATTCTGAAGACAACGTATCCATATCACTGCTAAGAATATGAGAATTGGGAGTTAAGATCGGCACAGCTAAGCATGAGAAGCACACTGGATGCACAAGAAATCTTGTCAACCAGCAGAACTGGAACTATTAACCGTGCGACACTGATGAATATGTTTAAAGGGGGAATCTGAGCTCCTATGTATGTGTCTGGAGTACTGTGAAGATAATCCAACCTATAACTCATTCATTCTTTGCACTGGTTTCTATCCCATGTTGTTCAATCTTTTTCCACATAGTGGCTGCTGCATGCTGACAGCATCACATAAAGCTCAAACAATGTAGCTTCAGCAACAATCAACATGATGTGTAATGACAATAGTGGAAGATAATAACTGTTTTCTGAACTTACACTGATTAGCAAAATCATGCAAGATCTGTCTCTCTGTGATGTTGGGAGGGAGTACAGTGCCGTTTGGTAACAGGAAATCATCTAATGGATTTTGGTTGAAGTTGCCAAGGAGACCTCTTGTTTTGTTTCGCAGAGACACGTCCACCTCTAAGTCAATCTCCAGACTGTTCAGACCCACATGCACTTTGATGGACACACCTAAACACAGGACAGGAATAGATGTACTCATGTCTCTGTGTGTAATAAAGCTGCACTTATGTTATAAAGAAAACTATTCCTAAGTCAATCTCTAGACTGTTCATACCCACATGTACTTTGATGGACACACCTAAACACAGGACACAAATAAATGAAGACATTTAATTGCAACCTTGTGATTGATTGGATACTAAAAAACACAGTAGACAAGGCATTGAAAGGCATACGGTGGACTCCATTCACCATGCTTGAGGACCTTGATTTTTCAGATGATATAGCACTGCTATCACACAAACATGAACATATACAAGATAACAGTAACAGACTACACAGCACAGCAGAAATGGTGGGATTGAGAATAAATACAGGGAAAAATAAAATCATGACAAATAGTCCAAACCAACAACCAGTGACCATAAATAATCAAACACTTGAAAATGTAGAACATTTCACATATCTTGGCAGTGTGGTGTCCCTACTGGGAGGGACAGAGGAAGACATACAGTCACGCCTGAACAAAGCTAGAGCTGCTTTTGGAAGGATGAGGCAAATCTGGAAATCCAACAGTTACTGCAGAGGAACAAAATTCCAACTCTACAAGAGCATCATTTTGGCAGTTCTTCTTTATGGAGCAGAATGCTGGAGAATGACCAAAAAGGGTGCACACAAGCTGTCCACCTTCCACCACACATGTCTACTTAGAATTATCAAAATTTTCTGGCCAGATACAATCTCAAACACTAAACTACTTCAAGTCACAAACCAAGAAACTCTAGACAGTATGATACCCAAGAGAAGATGGAAATGACTTGGCCACGTTGTGAGAATGAATCCTGATATACCTGCCAAAACAGCTCTCACATGGATACCAGAGGGCAAGAGAAAAAAGGGGCGCCCAAAAACAACTTGGAGACGAATGATGGAAAGTGACCGGAGTGTGGCATCTCTGACATGGAAAACTGCACTGAAGACTGCACACGTCAGGAAAGCATGGAAAGTCCTCTCTGAAGCCTCATGTGCCACTAGATATAACAAGAACTGATGATGATGATTTAATTGCAGTAAGCAGGTACACAAGTTTTAACTAAACTGTTATTTACAATAGATTTAGTCTATCCCTATTACACAGTAATACATACACATAAATTGAAAAGTTGTAGAAATCTGGTAATACATAATCATTCATCAAAAAGTTGCAGAACTTTGGTTTTTATAGAAGAATGGTGAGAACGATACTGAAAATTTTCAAAAGTTAAATGAAGATATCTTGAATTAAATAAACTCACAATGAGAACTGATTACTTACATTAGACAAGGTCAGTCCACATGCAAGGAAATGAGCAAAGCTGATCGACTTGCAAGTAAAGCAACTGTGAAGGCCGGACAAGCCATGGACCATGCTGATATTGTGAATGCTCTACCAGAAGTAAGATGTTTGTGAGAACCAAGTGATGATTGTGAATCTGCAACAATGGCCAGACTGCAAGAACAACATGTCAAAAGAGGTGTGGCCAGATAAGAGCACTATGCACAAAGCCAAAAAAAGAATATGAAACCAACACAGAACTGGTGTCGCAAGCCGCTACAGGCTGTGGGATTCACTAAGAAAAGGATCCGAGAACTTATGGACTGAATGGTTCGAAGTGCAATGAGGTTAATCTTTCCATTAACCAACTAACTAACTAGGTCCACATTCTTTAGGCATGTCTTAGATTGGAAACCTGGCGTGTGTTGTTACAACAATGAAGTCAGAGAGGAACAGACACAGAGGGAGAAAAAGAGAGATGATGTTAGACAATCTCACATGGTGGTGCACAGGAATATCCATACGGGAACTTACTGCCAGTTCAAAGAGAGTATACTGTGGACAGAAATGTTGACCAAAACTGCATGACGTGGACTGTAAGACGAATTCAAACAGTAATTCAATACTGTAAAAACACATCATTTTGAATTCTGGTTCTAATAAAACTTTACTTTTTTAGTGTTTGTCATATATTAACTTGCTATACCACAACCATATATCCAGGAAATAAACGAAAACTATGAGCAGGATGTATTACAGAAATAACTAGGAAGGAGGGTGGGTGGGGGGGGGGGGGGGGGGGGGGAGTGATAACAATGTAATCATAAATGAAAAAACTAATTAATTCTGGCTGCTTTGTGAATCCTTTGGAAGACTGCAAAGTTTAAACTTGAATCTGATCACTTGATCTTCAAGCCATTACAACAAACTGAACATAGACAAGAATAGCTTTCTCTATTCAGACTTTCTTGCTGATCTTTCCGTCTTCCAGTCAAGGCACAGAAATTTGTGGTGTGTACAAAACTAGTTCGAGAACTATGAATATGTTTCTAATGTTAACCATAAGCATAAGTTAATTTTTAACACTTTAATTGCGTTCTGAACTGAGACTGTTTATTTTACACTGTAAGGAATTAAATATAATTTATAAACTGTAAGGAATCAAATATAATTATCTGCATCTGTCCTCTTGATACGGGATAAATTTTTCATTATTATAAAGCCCCACCCTGGCTATAGTCGGAGGCCCCAATATGGCCTAACGGTTGAACGGGGTTTCTGGGACCTCTTCCTGGGTGATCCTCGCCCGCATGGTGGCACTTTGTGTCACCGGATGTTTATCTCTTGGTGGATGTCCTGGTGGGGTTGAATCTCATTCATCAATTATAAGGAGTGTTCATTAAAAACCTTTTCACACTGTACTGTGTGCAATTGCATATGTTGAATATGATCATGTCATACAGAGGAATCGAAGCGGGGGTCTTCCACGAGACAGTCCTGTGGTCTTACCTGTTGAGCCAGCTGCTCCTCAGCTGCCCAAGACTCAAAAGTGTAAATTCAAACTCAAAAGCCTCATCACCACTGCCCCCATACCATCGATGTTCATGAACAAACAACATGACTAACCACAGGGGAATGTTGATGCCACCAGGACCTTGCCACTTTCATTTCTCCTGACAACGTTGATGTAATCCGTGGACCAAGTGAAACCTGCATCCCTGTAGAACTTGTTGGTGAGATCCATCCCATCAACTACAATCACCATGCCTGTAAATACAGAGAATAAACATTCACACTTATCTGATAACACAGTGATTTATATTTAATCCAGATAAGTGGCAGCATTTTTGTTTGTGCTTTTCAACAATCAGTATGGTTCTGGGGTCGACCCAGCTTTACTGAAATGAATACCAGACAATTCTTAGAATGTTATGGGTAGAGGCTAGGAAGGAAAGGCAATGAGATAGAGAGCTGGGTATTCCACCCTATATGTCATGGCTGGAATATACAAAGGCCTGATATTTCATATTCCAGCAACAGTGTTTGTTATGAGACTATATTTTCTTTCATCATCATCATTTTCAATTTCCTGATCTATTCACCCATCCTCTAACAATATACTTCCTAGATATTTAAATTAATTAACTTGCTTCAGAAAAGTACCATTAAATCTGATATGTAGCGGACTAGGAATTCTTCTGACCCGCATTACTTCAGTTTTAGTAGTATTTATTTTCATATTATATGTTCTGCATGTTGAACTTATCCTGTTCAAATGCTCTTAAAGTCTACTCACCTCATTGAAGAACAGGCGCTGATCATCTGCAAATAAGCTCACTTATTGTGTGTGGATCTAATCCTTCCTCTGGAAAGTAAAGTTCCTCATTTTCTGAGTCGACTGCTTTAAAACTGGCTTATTTTGCTAATCTGACTATAAATATAGTAATGAGAGAGGAGACACCACACATCCCTGCGTCATCCCTGTACTGATTGTGAACATACCAGATGTGCCTTCTTGTGTTCTCACTGCCCTTTGGGAAGTGTGGTGCATTACCACAAGGTTATCTAGCAATTATCCTTGCATTCCGTAATCCTGAAAAAAGCCATCAGTTTGTTTCCGTCTACTCTATGAAAAGCTTTTTCTTGATCTACAAACACAAAATTCAGTTCATCGTCATATTTAATAGTTCACTTGCAAACTTGTCAGTGTAAATAAAGCATCAGCACAATCTGTTGTCAGTCCTGAAGCCATATCGTCATGATCTGTTGTCTGTCCTGAAGCCATATCGTCATGATCTGTTGTCTGTCCTGTAGCCATATTGTCGTGATCTGTTGTCTGTCCTGAAGCCATATCGTCATGATCTGTTGTCTGTCCTGTAGCCATATTTTCGTGATCTGTTGTCTGTCCTGAAGCCATATCATCATGATCTGTTGTCTGTCCTGAAGCCATATCGTCATGATCTGTTGTCTGTCCTGAAGCCATATTGTCATGATCTGTTGTCTGTCCTGAAGCCATATCATCATGATCTGTTGTCTGTCCTGAAGCCATATTGTCATGATCTGTTGTCTGTCCTGAAGCCATATCGTCATGGACCTAAGTACTTACTGATCCTACTTGTGGGTCTAACTCTCTGTTCTATAACTTTGCAAACATTTTTCCTATGTGGCTCAAGAGTGATATACCTCTGTACGATGAACCGTTTCATTTTCCAAATTGGTACTATTATTACCTGCTGCCAGTCAAGTGGAACTTTCCTTTCTTCCCCTCCTGTATTGAAAATTCTTGTTAGCCATTTGATGCCAGTTTTACCACATGCTTGAATAGCTTCTGTAATAATTGCATGTAAACCAGGTGCTTTGTTTTAAGGGCTCTTCCGTATAAGAGCTTTTAATTCTGATGTTAAAAAGTTTGGTTCATGCTGGTCACTGCTTTTATTTTTATTTTATATTTTTTGAAATTGAAGTTATCTACCTTATTTTCACAGCTGAGTAGCTCTTTAAAATATTCTGCCCATCTTGCTAGCCTTTGATGTGGATTAAATACAGGACAGCCTCTTTTGTTGTTTATAATGGTGGTTGGATTGTAGGACTCCGCTCTTGCTCTCATTTGTATAACCTGTTTGTAAAATTCTCTGGCTTCTGTGACGGGTTCAGTCCCAGCTGCAGCCGATTAGGCAGTAGACCGTTTTGTGTTAGTTTGAACAGCGGTATGTAGAGTTAACCTTTCAGAAAGCAATGGCAAACTACTGAATGTAAATTTGCCTAGAAAATTCACAACAGCCAAAAAATGCTGGGGTTGGTTTTGCAATGTCCTGAAAGGATTTAAAACTATACAACTAATTTTTGCGAAATTCTCAAGAGGAATATCTACTAAGTGTGGTCATCTGCTCCTCATACTATTTCCGTGATTTATCTTTAGAAGCTTTGATCATTTGCTTTGCATCTCTTCTGATCAATCTGTATGTAACATAATCTTGTTCACATTTGGTTTTTATTCATTTTTTTTTGGTCTGCTTCCTTCTCTTTCAGAAATGATTTTTTTGACGTCGTTATTCCCCTATACAGTTCTTAATCCTTTGTCTTGTCCTGCTCTTTAAGTTCTGCATTTATTTTTAAAAGTTTTGAGTACGTTTTCTTTAAACATTGAAATAATGATTCCTAACCACACAATTACAAACACTTTTCTGGATATGATCAGAGAACAGATATGACAAACTGGGACTGAAGAAGTGCTGACACAGATGAAGGCAGCCAGTGAACCAGGACTTGACTACCTGGGTCTGGTTACTGAAATCAGAGCTGACCAAGATCACATCTAAGAGGTACTTCTAACTGTGTGCACATTATAAGAAGAGACAGATTAGAACTCGCTAGGACAAGTGGAAACTTTTATGGAAAGAGAGAGGAAAAGGCATGGAAAGGTGTGAGCATACAAGCTGTTGGAAATGTTCAGAGAAGCATGGCTAATACCTACACCAGCCAGCATGGCACTTGATCATGATGATTATGATAATGAAGAAAGATAATCAGCAACGGATATGGTGGACATTTATATCAAAATGCAGGAACAGGCCATTAACAAATGTAGGGAATCCTGGCACAGAGAAACGTTTAGTCTGGCATGGAACACAGGGAATGAGGAAATCTAATAGAGAAGTACAGAAAATAAAACTAGGGAGTTTGTAAAGACAGTAGGGAAAAAAGAGGATGTTCAGGTTGGATGCTATTGGAAACAACTGATGCTGTCGCACGTCTCAGAGAAAATGCCCCATGAACTAACTGTAGTGTGCAATAATTTCAACAAAATATTCTTCCTCAAAATGTTACCGACAACTTACTTATGTTTGTTGGAGACAGCTGTACTTGAAACCTGGCATAGTCTTTCTCTTGAGCAGCAAAAGCTGAGAACACAGTTCCATTGGATAATGTCCCATTTATCTCTATCCTCTGTGTGCGGGCCTGTACAAAAATACATAGAACAGTGACATCACGTCTTCTGGCTTTTCTAATGTTAGATGAGAGCTATGCAGCTAGACAGTTGCCAGCCCAAAGGCCTTAGATTCAAATCTGTGAATTCTTATAACTGACCTAGGGCTCCAATGTTGACACAGCCTACGATTAGTAACTACACTTACTGTGAGTGTTTTATGAGGGTGGGGGGGGGGGTGGTTGCTGAAGCATGCTGCTATTTCTATGTACAGCTCTGTAGTTAGTTAAACATCATACAACTGGTACTGGACGTTGTAGCTGAAGAAGATATCTGGTTACTTAACCTCATAATTAGGTCACCTAGTATGTGCAAAGTCCTATTATTTTCCCAATTAAATGTCTACATAAAATCAAGATATAAATATAAATGAAATGATGGATTCTGTTATAACCATATACAACTATGTGGATATCAGTCACAACCCTTTTCTGAAAATACAAATCTAAATTAATGAAAGGGTCTGATTTAGCTAAACAAACAGTTCAAAGCATCGATATCAGAGTTCTCTTAGCCTGCTACACATGTTTTATTCTTACTCCTCATAAAAAAATACCTTAAACATTTTCACACCAGACACATGTTTGCAAGTAAACATCACACAAAACCTAGTGGTCAGAGAAGTCTGGTAGGATACAGACGTCCATCCCCCACATATAGTTTTATATTGGTCAGGATCTTTATATAGTCATCCTTAAAATAGGTTCTCTGGTCTGGCCAACTTAGACAGGATAGACGTTTCTTTCTAAAGTAAAGTGCCTCTTCCTGACAGGCTAAGAACCAACAATCTGCAGACAGAAAATGTGAGATCTGTACAACAGACGTGCAGGTGTCTTAGGACTAGATCAGTCAAGACACAAATAGCCAACCAGGACTTTCTGCTGGAATTCACAGTCAGTTAATGTAGAAGAAAACAAGTTATGCATGTGTGTTGGGAAATGAGCAGGCAGATAGACTGGCTGGTTCTGCACCACTTGGTGGTGAACGGATGGATGTATGACAGGCTGGATATTGTGAGGGTTCTTTGGGAGCGACTGATCAGTGCAGGGGCACAAAAAGATCATTACGGTCTGGGGAGCATGGCACTGCGAAGAGTTGCAAGAGGATCTGGCTGACGCTTGACACTCAGGGGAAAGGGGAGATGGATATACAATCAGACAGTTACTGGTACCATCAGAATTTTAACTTTTAGCTTGCTGCTGAAGATAGGGACGGAGCGCTTATGCAGGTGTACTGAGTGCTGTGATGTCGACTGTTAATTCTACATTCAACAGAAGAAATCAAGTGTGATACAGATATGACAGGTATATACTAGGCATCACATAACACACACAATGATGTGATATAACTGTAACCAAAAAAGGACAAAAGAATTCATAAACAAATTCTCAACAGTAACAAGAGACAAAACAAAGTCCTACCTGAAGGGTGAAGCTCTCACTTGGGACATCCATCAGAACATACTCTCCCCAGCCATTCATGGCATAGCTAGAATTGTCCAGTGTAACAATAGTAGGATCACCCAGGGCTGATGCTAGAGTGGGGAACATTGACAAGAAACATACACTTTATTTATCTGTTCATGTTAAGAACTTAATGAATAGCAAGGCAGACGAAGAACAGCAAGATGCTAAATCATTAAGCCAGTAGTAGTTACCAACCTTAATATAAGATCATTATTTTTTTATCATGAAAAGAAATGTGTGTCACAAGGGTGTAAGCAACAAAGTTCTCTAGAGACATAAAGAGAAGCTAATTTATTTGCTGCACTAAGATTATAAATGGTGAAATGTTTAAGCTGTCTGCTTTGCTCACTGAGATCAGGTGTAAAGTTTCAGACTTCATACTTGGTTTCACAACTGCAGATGCATCAGAGGTAGGCAGAGGTCACCGCTGCAGCCACAGAGTTTCACAATCCTCTTACTGCTTTCAGCAATACTATTTTAAACTAGGGTACCCAACTTTATAACATCATAAATGGAAGCCAATACATTTGCTGTGCTATAATAATATTACCACACTTACAAATAAATACACACACACTAACTCAGACACCCATAGCAGACAACCATGCCATTACCAGGAACAAAGACTGGATATGGTGTGCACTGAAGGTCCCCAAAGATTGTGTTAAATCTCTGGCAGTACTTTAATGGGGATTTCCCACAGCACCAGGTACGAGCTTGCATGTTTTCCTGAGCATCTTCGTAAGCCCTTGGGTTGCTAAATGAGGATGAGAATTGCCAGGGGTCACTAATGAGTAACTGCCCAGTTCCAAGGAAGGAGCCAGCCTGCCAAGATTCAAACCAGTCCTTCCAACTGTTGCTCTTTGGAGGCTTCCATGAGTAACAGCAAAGCTGAAAATAGATCAATAACACATTTACAATAAATTGTACATGTACAGACTTTATTATTTTATTACATTTCAATGAATTAATCAATCAAACAATAAAAAATCTACTTTACTGAACTCAGGACATTCCCACATATACATGCACTGACACCTTCAGTAGTAGTCAACAAGCAGTCCTGATATAGTGCGATCATCATGCATGCACTGACACCTTCAGTAGTAGTCAACAAGCAGTCCTGATATAGTGCGATCATCATGCATGCACTGACACCTTCTGTAGTAGTCAACAAACAGTAATGATTTTTTTTTTTTTTTTTTTTAACGTATCCAGAAACCATGAGTTGTAAACCCTTTGGCTCGGTACTATGGATATCGCAACCCTTCGGCATTGATTCCATTATAGGTACCGTTAATCTGGGAGAAATGTGGCTTTTCTGCCTACCCCCGGGAGTGAACCCGGACCACAAGGAGTTCGTCACCCGGCCGCCGCGAAAATCAGGTTTAACCAACTTCGCTAGAGAGCCGGGCAACAGTAATGATATAGTGTGATCATCATGCATGCACTGACACCTTCTGTAGTAACCAACAAGCAGTCATGATATAGTGCGATCATCATCACAAAGTGTTTCAGTCAGTGGCCAGTGATAAAGCCTCCTTGGTTATTACATTCCATAGTTTCCTGTCATGTGTTACTCTCAATTAAATTCATTAAGGTTTCCATTGATACACATGTATACATCTGCTTTACAAATGTTTTCCATGAAGTACCTCTTCCTCTGATGTATGGTATTTAGAATCTTGCACTCACATGCCTGTGATGTTTTTTTCATTTCTCAGACAGTGACCAATTTTTTATTTTAAATCTGGTTCTAGTTTTTTCTTTAATGTTGAGCATTTCTGGCATAAAACAAAGCTAATGTTACATTTCTGTTCCTCTGGTAAGTGTGTAAGCTTTCTCTCAAAAGACACGCTCTTTAAACCTAAAACAAAATCAACATTTCATGTTCTCTATTCTTCTACATTTCTATCTACATATTTTTCTTCTATATTTTTCTCCTGTGTCTGGTTAGTTGCCAGATGGGTTGTGAAACAATTTTCTTCGTTTTGGTGAACTGAAGGTGTATAAAAAAAAAAAAGCTGTGCAGCATGGGTCTAGAATATATGAAGGTCCCCAGTGGCAGTATCTGTGGAGAGCCACCTTGATCTTACTGTCCAATTCTGAACCCTTCAAAAATACAGTCTGATTTAAAAAAAAAATGAAAAAACATAACATTATATGTTGCCAACTTTTGTTAATTTGTAACAGCTTCTTTCTCTTAAGAGAAATCAGTGTACAATAATTATTATATTTACCCTGTTTCTCTGGTTGGTCTGCAACAGTCTTCTCTTGGCTACTGCACTGATTGCATAACATTGTGTGCTCTTGTCTTCTTTGACCAGCTGCCACTGCAATCCCAGCCGGTCAAGCGTGCATGGACACTTGTAGAGCTCATCAATCTCAGCTTGGAAATGTCGGTTAGATACCAGATCTGAATGTTTGCACAGGTACCTCTGGCACAGCTGACTCCCACTTAATGTACTGCCAGTTTCAAAGGCCACAACTCCTATCTCACCTGAAATCATGACATCATTTTCTATACAGCTAAACTTCACAAAATACTTATGACATCTTCTATAGTCAATTACAGATGGTTAGAAGATGTCAAAGTTGCACTCTCCTATGATATAAAGATGGATGTAAGTGGGATATGAATGATAAAGATATTGAGGTAGACTCGTGGGGACAGTCACAGGACTGAAGGAAATATGACTGCAGGTAGAATATAGATCAGGTAGAAGGTCTGCCTGTGCTAAAGGAAGAAGTCACCGATGCTATTAAACAAATGAAGAAAGGAAAGTCAGCTAGGCCAGATAAAATTTCTGTAGAAGAATTAGAAGTACTAGGAAAATTTGGGGTAGAAATATTAACTAAACCAATAAATGAAATTTTTAACACTGGGAACATACCAAGTGACATGATGAAATCTGTATTTAATGCGTTACCCAAAAGAATTTTGTACAATCAACTTAATAAGTCATGTCACCAAAATACTACTTAGAATTATAATGAAAAGAACAATAAGAATGAAAATGAAAATGAAGTGAAGAGCAGTATGGATTTATGGAAGCTAAAGGGACAAATAATGCAATATACATATTACGAACACTGATAGAAAGATAAATGGACAGACAAAAGGACTTATAATTGTGCTTTATAGATTATACCAAACCATTTGACAAAGTTAAACATGAGGATTTGATAAAAATATTGGAAGACATCAATGTAGGAGGGAAAGATCTCAGAATAATTAGAATAATTTACTGGAACCAAGTAGCAGCAGTTAAAGTAGGAAACAGATCAGGTATTTTCGAACAGATAAAGCAAGGAGAAATACAGTGATGTGTCTCAACCCCAGACCTTTTCTCTTTATGTAGTAAAGTAATTTTGAGGGAAATTTAAAAAAAAAAAAAAGTAGAAATAAGAGTTGGAAGATACAACATAAACAATTTGTGTTATGCAGAAGATATTGTTTTGCTAACTGAAAACGCAACTGATTTACAACAGCGGCAAGATATTGTTGGGATAGAGAGGGCTAAGAAAGAACTTTCCTTGAATATTAAGAAAATGGAAGTAATGTATATATCAAAGAAGATAAAACCACACTGTGATATCTCAAATGAAGGGAACAAATTTAATCAAGTCAATAAATTCAAATATCTGGGAACAATCATATCATCAAATGGAAAATGTGTGACAGAGATTAAAAGCAGAATAGGTCAAGCGAAGGCAGCATTTCAGAAAATGACAAATATCTTATGCAATAAATCGCTCTCATTTAATATCAGAAAGAGATGCTCAAATGTTAAATAGAACTTGTTCTGCTGTATGACAGTGAATCTTGGAATGTCAGTGAACAAATTAAGAAGAATTTGGAAGCAAAAGAGATGTGGTTTCTGAGATGAATGTTTTGAATACCTTGGACGGCCAGAGTAACTAACGATTGTTTGAAAGAAGTTAATGAAAGTAGATCTCTATATACAACAATAAGAAGGAGACAAATACTGTTCTTTGGCCACATAATGAGAAGAAAGGCATTGCAAAATATCGTAAAAACTGGAAAGATCAGAGGAAAGAGGGGTAGAGGCAGACTAAAATGTGCATTTACTGTGTGCGTTCCAGAACTAATTGTTGGTTCACCACTTTTTCAAATGCGACAGTGAGAGATATTTCATTTGATTTGCACTGGCACATACACATACACATCGAATAAGAATGGAGCAAGTATGGGGAACCCAACTGCAGTAAAGTTTAAACCTCCATTAAGACTAAGACATTCCTGAGCCAGATCCAAATATTTGTAGCTAAGGTTGAAACATTTATTAGGTGGGTCTCACATTAGCTGAGGGATCACAGTATATATATTTTCTCAACTACTTCTAATACATCCACTTGCAACATTTACCCACCCTGCCCTAGTTCAACCCACTCTATTTTATAGTGATTTTTTAAATCTTTGAGTCCCAGGGGGTTTAGCATCACAGGCCCAGGGGGTAGTAAAAAAAAATAATAAAATCGGCGCATCGTGGGTTCATTGGGCTTCTAGGTAGGAACCTATAAATGTATGATGCGTTCCTTGGGGCTCAAAGAGTTAATTCTGACCAAAACACTTAAAGTAAAAGTTGAAGAAGAAACATTCTAGATGAGAAAAAAAAATAATATCTGCCTGATAAAGAATGAGTTAACGTCTTTTAACTAAATATTAATACAAAGTTTTAGAATCAAAAGAAGGCACATATTTTTACTGTTTTATATCTGGCTCATTACTATTTTAGAATTGATGTGATCATACATTACATTACATACCAGTATTTCCTTTCACAGTGGCCAGGTTTACTGTCTTTGTGTCAAACAGCACATTCTTGACACCACTGTCCGTGGAGAATCCAACCTCAAATGGCTGGCCAGGTTGGCATGCGCCGACTCCATCTTTGTAAATGAAGATCACGTATGATTTCTCCTGAACTATAAAATGAAAAAAAAAAAAAAAAAAAAAGGTAGAAATGCCTGAACATTTTAAATATTTTTGATTTTTCATAAACCAAATTCTATTGCTTATTATCTCTCTAAATAAAGCCAATTGTCTGATTCATCACCATCAAGTGTCATGACTGTGTGATTATGCCTCTCCACATCTCAGTGTTTCAGAATTGAAAATACCAAATCCTAACTAAATTTGGTGTGCTGGGAACAAAAATTACATTAAAAAATATTGATTGGGTCTGGCTTTCAAAATATACCTAACTAGTTTGTTAAATTACAGTCGATTCATAAACATGAAGCAAATGTTGTGGTAGATTGCATAATTTTGTTTATAATAACAGTAAAAATGTCACTAGAAGTTGAGGATGCAATTCCACCTATGATTACATCACCTTTAAATATATATATATATATATATATATATATATATATATATATATATATATATATATATATATATATATATATATATATATATATATATATATATATACATATACATATATATAGGCATAAATATCTTATCTATCTATCTTATCAAAAGTATCCTAGATAGTAATGCCTAGGACATGTGTGAACAGCGCTAATAATTTCTGTTATATATGCACTGATGTTACATTTCTGTCATAAAAAATGAAATATAACTAAAGTGATTAAGAAAGTGTACTGTTTGTATTTTGAGTGTACATTTTGTATTTTGACTAAAGAATAGGAGATCAAGTTAAGAGTTGTGTACCACACATTTGTTGCAATACATATGCAACACATCTTAAACTGGTTGACTAGCAATAAAGCAAGCTACGTCTTTTGCAGTCCAAATGATTTGCAGGAGCTCAGCGATCACCTAAACAGCTAGCTGTTACTTTTGCATGGTCCTCCAAAATGGAAAAGGCAAATGAAAGAAGAAAAATAGACTCTGGAATTAACAAACATCTTTCTGTAATACATCCGGTACCCCATGGCAAGGATCCACATGTTTCCAAGGTGCCGGAATCCTTTTCTGCTTCTTCCACCGATGAAGAAGAAAATTTTGAACAAACTACATCCACTAAACTACATTTAACAACCCAAAGTGAAGTGAATGATCTTGTAAGAGATCTCAATTTATCAAACAACAACACAGAGCTTTTGAGTTCAAGATTGCAACAATGGAATCTTCCAGCAGAAAATATTAGAATTCTATCTATAAAAACGGCCAGAAGCAGCTTATTACATTCTTTTTAAAAAAAAAAAGGTGACCTTTCCACATGACATATTTCCAGTTTAACATGGCTGCAACGTGTCTTTAAAAATTCATATCCTGGATACTCATCTGGATGTCTTCAGGTCAAACTGTGGAGCTGTCAGGGATGAGCAAAGTGAATGATTTTACCAGGACACTGCTGCTAGATTGCATCATCTTGTTCTGCACCTATTATATACTAATTAAATTGACAGCTGGTCTCATGGAGACTTCCAGAAAGCCATTACTATTACCTTTTTTTTAATAGGGCACATCAACGATTACATCATATCCTATTTATAGATTATTCATTTGCAAAATATTTTATTTAATTTAAAAAAAAAAAGACAGTTCTAGAAAGGGGAATGTCTAGGCTTGATGATTTCATTCCATTCTAAATATGCGCAATATCCTACCTCCTAACAAGTGATGTCTCCCTGTTACAGAAGTTACAAAGAATGTTAGCCAGTGTTATACTGACGAGTTGTATCTGTTCCTGTACAAGAGTTTAGTGTGGATAAAAAACATGATGCCAAACCCTAGTCAAGCTGATGCTGTGTGAGCAGACGGCAAATGCTGTCTATAAATACACAGCAGACAAATAACGAATCTGGCACCATCATCATTGCAGACCTCTAAGGCAACCCTATTCTTGAATGAAGTAAAAAAAACCTCTCACTGCATGCTTGATAGGGTGGAGTGTTACGTTTCTATGCTTTTCTAATGAGACCTAGTGAGACACTGGTAGTTGGTAAGTCTAAAAAACATAAACAGAAGACAGAATTACATGAAAGAAACCAAGCAGCTGAAGAATTTTAAAACAAAGATACAACAAACCTGTCATGTCAATGTGATATGTGCCAGGGACATGTCCAGTGACTAGAACTGCCTGGAATGTGTTGCTGGTTTTAGCCAGGCAGCCCTGTGGGTATAGAAAAACATCAGAAATTATAGTGACCAACCTGGCATGCTGGCCAGGCATTTCAGTGTGGGTTCTCACCTTTGAAAGTGCACTAGAGTATGACCAATCCCACTCTAAATCACCCACTGTCATTTAAAAAAAAAAAAAAACTATTTTACCTTGTTGTTTACTTATCCCCTCTGGGAGAAAGGACTGATATTCAAAGACTCAAAAAGTCACATTATTTGGATGGGAATCAAACAGGTACAAACCCCAGAAGCCCTGTTTACCCATTTAAGACATTTACATTGGGGCACCTGACAGTTACGGGTGTGTCAGAACATTTCTTGACTGACCAATAAACTCACACCAGTCTGTCTTATCCTGTGCCATCTTGTGAAGCTCACTAAATGGATCGATATCCGACAGGACCAGAAAAAAATAACCACCAATTCCCCCCCCCCCACCCAAATGGTATGATGGTAAAGACTGGTGATGTGATGCGTATAATTCCGGCTAACGGCCACGTTAGAATCCAGCAAGATGGCAACGAGGAATGACTGAATGGTTTTACGCCCTCTTCCTTTCCTACCCTTTCCGAATACACTACGAGTACAATCCCCCTTCCCCAGAGAACACTTGAGTTCAGTACCCCACAAACCACAAAGCCAAACATTTTTATCTCAAAGAGTATTCCAGGGATCTGGTATTTATGTATACCAGAGCCTAGTTACCAACCCAACCCGAGACAATTGGACCACACTATAACAGATGACATATAGAATCATTGTGAGGCTTCACCTAACATTTCACACACACATCTCCATGACATGATTAACCCGTTCTTATTGCAGGAAGACAACTATAAGATCAATATGGTCACACACAGATTATTTTCTTAAATTTCTGTGCTTGTCCCAAAATAACAACACCATTGATCTTTATTACACATTCTTGAATAATTCTTTTCTTTGATACCACCATTACTTCTGTCTTTCCATTATTCAAATTGAGGCCCATTCTTCTACTTTCTACCACCACAATGTCTATCATTTCCTGTAGTTCTTTCTGACTTGTTGCTATCAAGACTGTATCAGCATATATATATATATATAAATGCTGATACAGTCTTGATAGCAACAAGTCAGAAAGAACTACAGGAAATGATAGACATTGTGGTGGTAGAAAGTAGAAGAATATATATATATATATATATTGATTAAATGACTACTGCAGGCCTTTCACTAAATTTGTTAGTTTTGACAGTGGTCCTTACATACACCAATGGCCTTAGAGCTCTAAGGACACAAAGCCAAACAAAATCTTTTTTTTTTGCGCAAAATTTACCAGTAGTTTATGTTGTCTGTAGTACAGTGACCAATTCTAGATGTTATTGTGGCAAAGTAACAGCTAATGAGAAAACTTTTAAGTATTGCAGCCTGAAATACTGATATCCAGTGCCTCATAGACCCCTATTGGGATGGAATTTTACTGAAGCAAATCCCAGAATCCCTGATCCTTGTTTAACAATATAAAACTGTTACTTTGGGGTACTTGGCATCCATTACAAAACAACAACAAAAAAATAGAAAAAAAAAAAAAAAAGGGACGGACTACAAATTAAATGTCAGAACACATACAATGCGGCGTAATGCTGACCACATTACCCACCGAGTGCTGATGGTCTGTAAAAATATTGGCGCTCTTCCCATATACTCGATACACTTAAAGGCGTGGAAAGGGATCTTTACTTTTTTTTTTACACATACAATGACTTTTGTTTATGTCCATACAAGGTAGCTGTTGTGTTTGATTCCCCTACTGGTCAGTTACCTCATCAGGTAGTTGCTATTATTATTTTTTGCACTGGGCGGTTACTTCTATAGTTTCCCACCATCATTAGTTCCTCTCGTGGACGACAACTGTTATTAAATCACCTACTGAACAGTAAGGACAGTAACTGCACTGACGTCCCTGCTGGACAGTTAGTGCTGTTAGTTCTCCTATTAGGCAGTTACTGTTATTAGTTCAGCTATGAGGAAGAAACTGTTATTAGCTTCCCTATTAGGAAGAAACTGTTATTAGTTCCCCTATGAAGAAGAAACTGTTAATAGTTCCCCTATGAGGAAAAAACTGTTATTAGCTCCCCAATTAGGAAGAAACTGTTATTAGTTCCCTTATGAAGAAGATACTGTTATTAGATAACCTATTAGGAAGAAACTGTTATTAGTTCCTCTATGAGGAAGAAACCCTTTTTAGCTCCCCTAATAGGAAGAAGTCGGCTCTGTGGCTAAGTCAATGCGAACGCTTCGTAATGCCGGATTCGATCCCAGCTGGGAGCTATGTGCCTTGCATTGGTTTCGACAGTGGTATCAAGAAAGCCGACAGTCCTGAAAGAAATGGCAAACTACTGGACATAAATTTGCCTAGAAAAAGGTTGGTTCTGCAACATCCTGTAAAGGATACGCATCTAAACTTAGGAAGAAACCTCAATGAGGAAAAAAACTGTTATTAGTTCCCTTATTAGGAAGAAACTGTTATTAGTTTTACTATTAGACAGTATCAGTACTATTGTCCTTATTAGGCAATTAGTGCTTTAGTTCCACTTTTAAGCAGTTACTGTTATTATTTCCCCTATAAGAAAGAAACTGTTATTAGTTCATCTATTAGGAAGAAACTGTTATTTGTTCCCCGGTTAGAAAAGTATACTGTTTTTAGTTCCCCTATTGAACAACTATCATTATTAGTTCCCCTAGTTGGTAGTTACTGTATCTCTGAAACTGAACAAGTGAAGTGTCTAAATTAGAAACATACCATACCTTTGGTTGAACAGCTTGCCAGGTTGCCACTAGAACTGTACCAACTTGAAAATCTGCAAGTTTAAAATACTTCTTGATGTCCCTCACAGCTCTGGTCACAACCTCTGACCTTTTGGGTGCTGGCGTGCTTTGAGTGGCAGGCTCTAAGAAAACTGTTGCGTTACAGTTCTCATACAGATGGTAGAATACTTCTCCAACCCCGTAACCTTTGTTATCTGTCCACAACGGAGCCAGGATCCCTTGATTACCAATGTGTGCTGCTTTCAGATTTGGAGTTCCCATGATTCCATTGTCGCTGAACAGAACCACACCATTGGCTAGAACCTGTAAATATTTCACATTTACATCTGATGACCTTATATGTATAGTTACATCAATTTATGAACAGATAATTCTTATATGAGGACTACAACATGTACCCATACAAATTAGCAGAATGTTTTCTCACACACAGCAAGAAGATATAAAGTATCCCATTAACAGTGTAATGTTAGACTGACTATTCTCCATGTCTACCATTAACAGTCTAATGTGTCATTGGCTATTCTTTATGTGTACCATTAACAGTATAATGTGTCATTGGCTATTCTTTATGTGTACCATTAACAGTCTAATGTGTCATTGGCTATTCTTTATGTGTACCATTAACAGTCTAATGTGTCATTGGCTATTCTTTATGTGTACCATTAACAGTCTAATGTGTCATTGGCTATTCTTTATGTGTACCATTAACAGTCTAATGTGTCATTGGCTATTCTTTATGTGTACCATTAAAAGTGTAATGAGTAACTGGCTATTCTGTATGTCTACCATTTAAAGTGTGATGTGTGTTTGACTATTCTTTATGTGTAACATTAACAGTGTAATGTGTAACTGGCTATTCTATATGTTTACCATTTAAAGTGTGATTGACTATTCTTTATGTATACCATTAAAAGTGTAATGTGTAATGTGTAACTGGCTATTCTATATGTTTACCATTTAATATGTGATGTGTGATTGACTATTCTTTATGTGTACCATTAAAAGTGTAATGTGTAATGTGTAACTGGCTATTCTATATGTTTACCATTTAATATGTGATGTGTGATTGACTATTCTTTATGTGTACCATTAAAAGTGTAATGTGTCATTATCTATTCTTTATGTGTACCATTAAAAGTGTAATGTGTAACTGGCTATTCTACATGTTTACCATTTAAAGTGTGATTGACTATTCTTTATGTGTACCATTAACAGTGTAATATGTAACTGGCTATTCTATATGTTTACAATTCAAAGTGTGATTGACCATTCTTTATGTGTACCATTAAAAGTGTAATGTGTAACTGGCTATTCTATATGTTTACCATTTGAAGTGTGATGTGTGATTGACTATTCTTTATGTGTACCATTAAAAGTGTAATGTGTCATTGGCTATTCTTTATGTGTACCATTAAAAGTGTAATGTGTCATTGGCTATTCTTTATGTGTACCATTAAAAGTGTAATGTGTCATTGGCTATTCTTTATGTGTACCATTAAAATAATAATGTGTCATTGGCTATTCTTTATGTGTACCATTAAAATAATAATGTTTCATTGGCTATTCTTTATGTGTACCATTAAAATAATAATGTGTCATTGGCTATTCTTTATGTGTACCATTAAAATAATAATGTGTCATTGGCTATTCTTTATGTGAACCATTAAAATAATAATGTGTCATTGGCTATTCTTTATGTGTACCATTAAAAGTGTAATGTCTGACTGGCTATTCTATATGTGAACCATTAAAATAATAATGTGTCATTGGCTATTCTTTATGTGAACCATTAAAAGTGTAATGTGTAACTGGCTATTCTTTATGTGAACCATTAAAATAATAATGTGTCATTGGCTATTCTTTATGTGAACCATTAAAAGTGTAGTGTGTAACTGGCTATTCTTTATGTGTACCATTAAAAGTGTAGTGTGTAACTGGCTATTCTTTATGTGTACGATTAAAAGTGTAATGTCTGACTGGCTATTCTCGATGCGTACCATTTAAAATGTAATGTGTGATTGGCTTTTCTCAGTGTCTAGGTTAATACTGTAAAGACTATTTATTCTCTCCCCCACTTATCTTCCTCTGCCACCCTTCTGCTGTCTTGATGAATTTCAGTTTCCCTCTTTACATTAGATGTCTAACTAATGTGCACTGCCTACTTCAGATGCGTTTAGCCAGTTTCATTTTGAGTTGATGCAGTTAATTTACTGCCTGGATTTCTCTTATTCTAATCAAAAACAGCAACTTGTTGGTATGATCTATACGTACATAGGCTTGTGACTGAAGACCTTTGCCAACTGGGATCTCTGAGCTGAACTGGATGGGGTTGCTGACTGGGATGTTGTTAATTTTGTTGCTTGTCTTTTGATTCACTGTTTCATCAGCAGCCTCTGTTCCGTGTGGGTAAAGGGAGGCTGGAAACCAGATACAAGGGGAAACAATTGTTTAAAGATGTACTGTTGCACAACAATTGTTACGTCTTAGATGAGTTGACTGCAGGAAAGCACCCCACACTTGGTGTTAATTAGTTGTGATATAAAAATTGTGTTTCAACTTTGTAAATATAATTATTTAACTCTTTCAGGGCTGCATTTTTATTTTCTGGAGTTTGGGCAGCATTAATTTTGAGCTGAATTTATTTACTGAAACATGACATAGTTAAAACCTTCCTGAAGAAAAAGTATTAACTGTAAAGTGACACATGATATATCGAATTAAAACAAATTTAAAAAAAAAATTTAAAAATTAGTACTGCAACAACAAAATATCAAAACGTCACTACATTCAAGGATGTTAGACACTAAGATTTGTTTAAACATGAAGTTTTGTATTATCTTACATATCTTACTTTTTTTTCTTAACCAGCAACACTTCTATTCACTTCTAAAAATGCACATGTCTTCTCTATTCAATTGTGCATCAGCTAGTCTTTATCTCAGACAATTAATCTAAATACTTTTGATTTTATGATAATTTTTGTGTCACATATCAAATTTCACAACAATGGAATTCAGGACACAGCTAATAGTCCCTAATTATGGTTTTCACCTGTTGGACATTTTCTTCTGCATGTGATGTTTTTGAGTGTCCACTTTCAATTTTTGTCCATTACTCTTATGTGTCCCACTTTGAAGCGCATCACTTACTCATACACCTTTAGTTGATTGATGGTGCTTGCTCCAATCTGTGCTAACAGTCGATGGTGGGTGTCTGCCGGCTTGACGCTCTCTGACCAAGGAAGCACACTGTGGTGTGCTGTTCGACGTGTGTGATGCCAATTATCTAGGGGATCTTTAATAAACATCAGTCGTCCACACATAGACACTGTGTTCCCTCGGCTATCCATGACCGCCCACTCTCATTGGCACAGCACATGCTGACAGTGATTATAGCTGGAGTAAAGGAAGGTCAGCCCAAACAAGGGGCAGCACATAAACCTGGCACACATAACAAGTTACCAAACACAATGTATCTGGCGCAGGTTACATACCCTCTTGTAAACACTAACACTGTCTACAATTAATGCAATATATAATATACCACGCCAAGTATGATCTTGTAGTGCGAAAAGTCTCTTTATTATGGTTGAACACACTGAAATGAAGATGAGTTGGTGATCAATGCCTCACTGTCAGTCTACCACTCCTGCCAAGTACATCGACATCGGCAGTCTTCAGAACACGAACAAAACACCCTAGAGAACTATTTATAATATGCCTGCTATGGGCAACCGACTGCGCCATCCGAGGGCCTTAGGCAGATGCACCACTCAGCTACATAGTCACTCACTGAAGCATCACTGATCAACATCCAGTTAACCAATCTCTGAGGCCTCCCCATCACAACTCCACACTGGCCAACGCACACATTTAATTACCCCAGCACCTTCTGTGCACTTAAGGACACCCTGTCAACCAGCATATCCCATAGTAGCAATTTTGCTGACCCCACACACATGGCTGACATAAGTCCATTCTAGAAAATCACTCTGACAGAATAATGTAACACAGTCATCTGGACAGTTTATGAGAATAAAACCACACTGTTAAAACTGTCAAACAACAAACTCCATAGGACTTGAACAACTGAAAGCTGACTGACTCAAGTACCACACTCTCCATTCAACAGCGGTCAGCTACACGTGGATCTCACATTCCCTACACAACTCGGGATGTTTGCAGTCACCCATGAACATCAAGCAACCTCTGTTTCACAACTTTAAGTGGCTCAAATGTTTACCCTCACAACCTGTCAACACAACATGAATGCTCGTGTGTACCCATGCTTAACAAAGTCCTGGCTTCAGTAACTTATACCGAATAGACTTTCACACATAACACTGTTCCTCGATAGTACATTCATGGAGTGGTGCTTCCATACATGTGACCTTAAAGCTCCAAGAAACTTGACTGAATGGAACAGTGACTGATACTCCCACTTCTCCATCATGCCAGGTATACAAGTGGTAATGACAAACACACACAGTCTTAGTTTATTACTGTGAAAACACAAAATTGTCTTTTGTTTTTTATTTACCCTCGGAAATTAAAAAAAAAAACAAATTAAAATATGGCATGTTTAAGACTGAAAGATTTAAACAGATGTAAATAATACAGAAAACTCAACAACATGCTTTACCAATACAAGTCACTGCATCATTGCTCAAAGCCATATCCTCTGGACAGATGCACGTTTCTTTATTATTGGTTGGGTTGACATCACACAAGTGGGAACATTTCTTCCTCATGGCTTCACTGCAGCGGGAACTTGCTGGAACAACACACAAAGAGTCAGTTTATAGAAAGGCATGCAGGTCAGAAATACTGAAGATTACCCCAAACAAGAATAGGGGTAAACTTTTATTTACTAAAGCATTAATCAGCATTACTGGGGCCTTTGGGCACAGAGGCTAGATGCTTGTCTGCTGGCCCAGATGACTTTGGTTTAAATGCACATCAAGGAAGATTTGTATAACTAACCCAGTGCTTCTAGGTCAACTAAGACTGAAACAGATACCAGAAAATGTCCTGGAAGTAAAGGCAGCTAGCATCATGTTGACCACATCACTTACCAAGTAATGATTGGTCTACAAACATTTGAGTCTAACACCATACGCCCAATAGGACAGTGTGAAAAAGGTCCTTTTTGAGAGCCAGCATAGAATAGTAAAACTGTGCCCTATCAAAACTGGTATAACAGGTAACTAATGTGGACTGGTCTTGGGGTTGGCTGCCTCAGCCCATAAAAAGCTTCAAACACAGAAGCTTGATGTGAGTGGGTTGACTTAACCCCTACCTGGTCATGCTGCTTTCAACCAAGGGCATCCAAACGCCATGATAAAATATATCTGACATAATGAAGACAGAGCATATAATTTTAGCAGAAGTTTTCGAGCATCTCTCTCTCTGTCTCTCTCTCTCTGTCTCTCTCTTTTTCATTTAAGTAAATGCATGTAATGTACCTTATTACCAGACTTTATTCTAGATTTTAACTGAAATATTATTTTTATTTGAAATGAAAAAAAACAACTTCTAAATGACATTTATAATAGTGAGTACATTCCTAATGGGAGCCGCCGTGGTGTAACAGTCAGACATATCCCTGAAGATCCAAAGGTTGTGGGTCCAAATCCTAAATAAGCCAGACTCATGGTATGGGGTGTCACAGGTCGACCCAGCTTAAAATAGGTACCAGGATGTATGTCATGGGAAAGTAAAGACGGCCGGCACAATGCTGACCACATTACCCACCTAGTGCCGATTGGTCTTTAAAAATATGGGTGCTCTTCCCATATGCCCGATGCACCTAAAGGCATGAAAAGGAATTTTTACTTTTAAATTTTTACTACTACACATAGGCATGAAGGCATGAAAATGGGTATTTTTATTATAATCCTAATGACCTATTAAAATCCATATTTACTGTTTGGCCAAAGAAATCAGGCACTTTAAAATCTGAAGATCACACCATCAGTCTTATGAGTAATGTGACAAAAATGTTACTCAGAATAATTATGAAAAAAAATATGAACCAAGATCAAACAAGAAACTGGTGAAGAACAACGAGGATTTGTAGAAGAAAAAGGTACACACAATGCCATAAGAATTTAAACACTGATGGAAAGGTTAGTTAAAGTAAGCTGAGTATCCTTTACAGGACACTGAAGAACCAACCTTAGCATTTTTCGCCTGTAGTGGTTTTTCTAAGCAAATTTAAATTCAGTAGTTTGTGATGGTAAAGATCTACAAATAATCAAGAACATGCATTGGCGGCAAACAGCAGCTATAAGAATTAACAATCACTTGGAAACACTTTAGAGCATAAAGAAGGTAGCTTAACAAAGATGTGTACTATCACCTGATTTGTTTTCATTGTACAGTGAATATTTATTGAGATCTATCATGGAACTGTGGTTACTGGTCATAGCATAGCAACCTATGTTATGCCGATGACACTGTCTTGATCGCAACAAATAAGAAAGAACTACAGGGACTTATAGATATGGTGGTGGTAGAAATTGATAAAATGGGCCTGAACTTGATTAATGGGAAGACAGAAGTATTGGTGATATCCAAGAAAAGAATAGTGTCTAAATGTGTAACAAAGTCAGAGGCGTTATTTTAGGACAAGTACAGAAATGTCAGTATCTAGGCACGTAGATAACATGAAACGGCAGATTATCACAGATATAGAGAACAGCAAAGGACAGGCTAAAACTTCATTTTTTTTTTTTAATGAAGAATTGTTTTGGCAAATAAATCCATGCCACTAGACGTTGGCTTTACAGAGACAGGTTTTAACATACGGCTATGAATCCTAGAAAAGTGACAAACAAGCCGTACAATTTCTTGAGTGCTTCATAGATGTAGTTTTGGCATCTGTGGTTTAGGCTTGCGAACGCGCTTCGTACTGCTGGGGTGGCGGGTTTGATCCCAGCTGAGGGACTTGCGCTGGGTTTGAGAGTGGTATCGAGAAGCTGATTGTCCAAAAAGCAATGACAAACTACTGGACTTAAATATGCCTAAAGAAACCACAACAGCCAAAAATGCTGCAGTTTTTTTTTTGCAATGTCCTGTAAAGGATACGCAACTAACTTTTCTTTTCTTTTATGTTTGTCAATGTTTGCTCTTAAGATGACATAGTCCAAAAACATATCTGAACATTAAACATAAAACATGTGAACATATTTAACACATTCATTCCAGACTTACCTTTACACTGGCCAAAGGTGTCCATAACGTATCCAGGACGACACGCACAAGTGTAGGACCCAACCTCATTGACACAGTCAGAGTTTGAAGGACATACTGTTGCACTCCGACACTCATCCAAGTCCTGTGAACATCCACGTCCCACCCAGCCAGGCTTACAGAAGCAGACACCATTGGTGTTATCGCAGAGTTCAGTTGTATCAAAGGCACATGAGCAAGGGAGGTCACACTTTTGATCTCCATACTTAAACAAGGGACATTCTGTAAACAAGAGAACACAAAACAGCCAGTAATGGTTTTGTTTTTATATAAGGTTATTTCAGGGATTTTACTGTATTGAGCTTCCAGCTTGGATTCTAGACAGCTCAACAAAAAGAGAAATGTCTAGACAATCACTTGTATCATCAATTATATGACAAAGAATAGGCCAATATATTGGGAAAAGCATGAGGAGAAATGGACACAAAATCAGCAAACAAGCACTGACATGGGAAACAAATAGACTGAGGAAATGACAGCATCCAAGAGAAACCGTGAGATGAACGTTTTTGAGAGAGTCCAAGGGTGCTCGACCGGATTCCATCCATGATACAGAGAGCACTGTATATGACAGAATGGAATGGAGGACTATACTGCAAGACATATAATCATACAACACAATTAAAATAATCATGAGTTTCCGGGTACAGCTAGTTCTAAAGAGGGCAAAGATCACGTTGAGAGAAGTCGAGCTGGTCGGAGTGGCGTTGATAACTCACCCATCAAGTGTTCATTGGTCTAAAAACATACGAATAGCATCATATATCCAGTAAGCTTCATTATGGAAAGTTATCCGGTAAGTTTGTGTTGTTGCTTATAAAATGACTAGATGTGGGAAGGCTAACCCTAACCCAGTCAACAAATGCCCCCAGAGGTCAGATGTGTTGGCCTAAAGGTGCAAATATCACAGCCATGCTGTAAACAGGCATAACACAGTTACATCTTCGGATGAAGGCAAAAGAAGAAATGACTATATTTAATTGTCCAGCTTTGCCCGGATTAGTCAAAGAAAGTTTTATTCTCATCTTGATCTACACTGCTGCTGTATATGTAGTAGAAACCCCACGGAGGAACAAGCTCAACATGAGCCTTCCATCTTCAAGTTTCACTTAGATGGCAGCATTTCCTAAACCCGTCAGTGTCACATTTCAGTGCATGTCTGGTGATTATCTAAATTTTCTGTAGCAAATAAATTTGTATACTGTGTTGGAGCTGGTCCTTGAGCCACGGCCCGAGGTGGAGTGGTAGTAGCGTCATAGACCAGTTCTTTCCATAGTTAGCAATACCGCCACCTTAGCACCCCTTTAAAGTGATGGGGCAGAGACTCAGGGCATGACTCAGGAATTAAATTTGGTATGTTTGCAGTTTCCCCAAATATGACAAATAAAGCAACAACCTCCTCTAATGCCCCTATCTTACAGTCATTTCAAAGAAGATAACAAAGTAATGTAATTTGTTTTAAAAACAATTAATGTAAAAGATGTAAGAGAGGAAAATATATTCAAATGGATATAACTCCAGCAAAATTTTACTTTTACTGTTTGTTGCAATAAATGAAAGAAATACCTAAACAACCTGCCGCCAATGTGACTGTTAAATTAAACATTGCAGACATAATATCAATTGAAAATTTAACCGTGTATTGGTCAAGGTTTAGGAGGAGTTAACAGTTCATTTATAACGAACACACAAAATACAGAAAGGGTTTGTGATTTACAGTATAGATAATGTAATAAAATGCAGATTGTCCCCATGTGGGACAATGTTTCGTTATTTTGAAGCCCCACCATTGTTGTTGCTTAGGGCCCTAATATAACCCAACGGTTGAACAGGGTTTCTGAAACCTCTCCAAGGGTGATCCTTATCCACATGGTAGCACTTTGTGTTACCAGGTGTTTATCGCTCAGTGTAGTGTCCTTGTGGGATAAAAAGTGGTCAATAGAACTACATAAATGAACACTGCATCCCAATATCAGATGCAATTTTTTTTTTTTTTAAACTCCACCCTGGGAAAGGGGGGGGGGGGGGTGCCCTCAATATAACCCAACCTATAGGTGGAACAGGGTTTCTCATCCTGTTCATTGCTTGGTGTGATGTGGTGGAGCTTGAATGTCAATCAAACATCAATCAGTAGAATTATATCTCTATATCCCAAAATGGAAAATAATGTTTGTTTTGTTTTGTTATTTTAAAGCCCCCCCCCCCCCCTTTCTCGACGTAGTCAGCGGGCTTAAAGATAACCTAATGGTCAAATGGGGCCTCTGGGACTTGTACCTGGGTCATCCTCATCTGAATGGTGACACTTTGTGACAGTGGGTGTTGGTCACTGGTTGCGCGGTCTTGGTGGGGGTTGAATGTTAATCTCTCAAGAAAACTTTATACAATCCTCGTCCCAATGAAGGACTCAATTTTGTTGTTATTTTTAAGCTCCACCCTGGCTGTCGTCAGAGGCCCTATGGGTTGAACAGGGTTTCTGGGACTTGTGCCTAAGTGATGAATGGTGTCTGTCACGGGGTTGAACGTCACTCACTCACTCAGTAGAACTTCTTATTTGACTGATCATATATCATGACAGGGTGGAACCTCAAGAGAGGAATTTAATCTATTCCACGACCAAGCTAATATGGTGAACTATTTGTATCCTGAAGCTATTTTCTCATTAAAATTATTGTCATAATTGTAATTCATTCCAGTTCTCCAAAAATCACCCTGTTAGTTTTTTTAAAATCATTATTAACAATAATAATGTTTAAAAGGAAAAAAACAAAATACTCTGAAATAAATAAACTCACAATTTACAAAATTAAGAGTGCAGAAACTTACTTTGCACATCCGACGGTGATAACTAAGGAGGTGTATGTTTTGCAATGGCTAACCATCATCATCATGTGGCCTGCCAACTGGTATAGGTGCTCAGGTATTTCCCCAGATCAGGATTCCTGGTTGCATGGAACAGTATTCTTGATGATATTCCTTCACGTCATCATTTCAGCCCATCCAGCACCATCTCTCTTGGTCTGCCTCTACCCCTCCCTTCCACTTATCTTTTCAGTTGTCACAATATTTGTCAATGTCTCTCTTCTCACTACGTGGCCAAAGAGCAGTGTTTCTCCTTCTTATTTTTGTATATAGAGATCTACTTTCATTAGCTTCTTTCAAACAATCTTTGTTAGTTACTCTGACTGTCCAAGGTATTCGTAACATTCATCTCAGAAACCACATCTCTGTTGCTTCCAAATTCTTCTTAATTTGTTTAGACATTCCAAGATTCAATGCCATACAGCAGAACAGGTTCTATGTAACATTTTCAGGCATTAAATGAGAGCAACTTATTGCATAAGATATTTTTCATTTTCTGAAATGCTGCCTTTGCTTGACCTATTCTACTTTTTATCTCTGTCACACATTTACAAATTTTCTATCTTATGATATGATTGTTCCTAGATATTTGAATTTATTAACTTGGTTAAGTTTTTTCCTTCAGTTGAGATATCACAATGTGGTGTTATCTTTCTGGGGATAAGACACATCACTGTCTTACTCCTTGCTTTATCTGTTCAAAAGTACCCAATATGTTTCTAACTTTAATTGCTGCTTCTTGGTTCCAAAAATAGTTTTAATTATTCTGAGATCTTTCCTGTCTACATTGATGTCTTCCAACATTTTTATCATCTTTAAAATCGCTAATACGTTACGCTTAATTTTTACCTTTTTCCCTCTTTTGGGGCTTTTTTTGCATCGTCTCTCCAGCATGTGCATCCTGGATTTTCCCTCGTATTTATGGGAACAATTTTGGAGAACTTGAACTGGCATCCTGACAAACTTGTATTTAGGTACACAGTTCCACTGTATATTCCATTTACATCTACGGTATTTTAAAGACATTTTCTCTTGAATATCAGCTGCATTACAGAAACAATTTCTCCTGATCACATGTCAGATGCACCACTGATGTGAAAAGAGTCCTTTACTTTGTTGTATGATGAACAGTTATTTTACTTGTAGTTAGGTAATTGTTATTGTTTCATTACAGTCATGGTGTAAAGAAGGGCTATTCAACTGGCGGCCCACAGGCCAAATCTGGCCCGTGGAGGCCTAGCAAGTGGCCCGTGGATCATTGCCAGTTGTATTGTCTTAATGATCTTTCTATGCTAAGGTTTAGCCCTCTGGCCCGTGACGATCCTCATTTTCCTAATGTTGGCCCCTCTGTAAACTTAGTTGAATAGCCCTGATGTAAAGTGTTGAACTAAAGGTGGATAACTAGAATACTATACAATGACGTGGGCTAACCAGTTCCATTGTCCTCAACTTTATTAAAGAGACAATTCCAAGATTACCAGGCACCAATTTTCATTAAGCTGGATTGACTTACTTGAAAAAAAGCTATAACCCTGTCATCAGTGCATCATTGCTTCAGCCCATGGGAATGAGGTGTATTCCATAATATATCTAACTGCTCTAGTGTAGGCTAGCATTCACGACTTTGTAATAGCCCGCCCAGTATGTTTCATCCAGTTTTTGTTTACATTACAGTGAGTCTTTGAATGTCTTTTGACTGTATTCTCTGCTTCTAATAGTGTACCTCACACAAAAATGTGAATACGTCGGTCACTACTGTCTGTATGTACCACTTTTTAGGGTGGAGTAGACAATAGGTCGCAAGCCTGATGAATTAGGGCCACATGGCTAGTGATGTTGCCACAGACTTTACAGGTCAGAATGTTTAATTCTGCCCCCGACAGAAAAACTCCATCACCTTACCGTGGGTCGAACCCGGGTCTTCTGTATTAGAGCCCGGCGTTGTAACCACTCAGCCAGCTGCTTATCACTATGGATTTGTCTAAGTTATTTGTTGATTTTCTAAGCTTGAGAATATTTTTTTTTTTTGTGTGTGGACAAAATAAAAAATAAAATGTTCCAGTGAGTTTGTTTTAGTTTTTAGACTGATTTGACTGAGCTACCATATAACTGATCTTCAATAATACTGTCTCTGTTACCACATAATGATGGACGGCTCAATCAAACCTGACAGCCCAAACAGTGCCAACAGCTTCAGATGGAGATGTGTACTGGGGAGGAGACTAGCCTTACATATGCTTTGACTAAGAAATGCAATCTGAAAACAAGTGTTATGGTAAGGCAGACCAGACCAACAGGCTTGGCTGGCAGCTGATCCATGAGGGAAGCTCCTGCAGGCCCACAGAAAGAGCACTTTTCTTCTGATCCTGCAGCTTCTGCAGCATGCTCTGTTCTAAATTTATTTGCATCACCTCTCCTTTGCAATAAACAAGGCAGGCCAAGCAAGGTATAAGGCTGCACGATCAACACATGACCTCTACAAAACTTTTGTGCTCCAAAGAAGATTAATTTCATATCTAGCCTCAAACTGGCTGTGATACTTTTGCCTCTCTATAAAACAATGCAACACTATCATCTGGAAAGATGAAAAAGTGTCAATGCAAGTTTTAGACCCCAATTATCTGCCCAGTTCTCTACTTTTTCGACTGGCTTTTAAAGCAGATAGGATAGGAAGCTGTTTTTTGTGTTTTCAATGACTGTCCAAACAACAAAGCTATATTTTTTTAAAGGTGAAAGGATTGACTTTACTGCCCCAAATGGCTCAGCTTCTTTCTCTTTGCTGAGTGGCTGGTCACAATGTATGAGCCCCATAACTCCAGCAAAGATTCAAAGATCTCAAAAATAGCTGCAAACTCAACAGAAGGATAGAGTCTAAAATTGAACACACGATTTTCAGCATATGAGGCAAATGGCTTAATTCTCCAGCACAGGTCATCATATAAATTTAAAGATTTTTTTTAAACAGGAAAAGTAGCTGTGAATGAAGTTTTCACAAGTCACCCACAATGTGTTGCTTTACAGCAGTGGTTATTAACCTTCCTAAGGCCAGTTCCCTTTAACACTTTGCTGACCAGCAATCTGGGGCATTACTGTCTCCCACTACCAAGGGTATTTCAAGATTTTTTTTCAAAATGACTGGTTTTCAAATAAAATTCATACAAAATTCAAAAACGAGCGTAGGGTTTTGAAATCTTCAGAGCATTTTTATGGATGGTTGCTACTCATGAAAAAAAATATATTATGCAAATATGTCACATGATCATGGTGGCCATCTTGAATTTGTTTGGCTAATAATAGAAAATTCAGATGTTCTAAAACCATCATCTTTTTCCCAGTGAATTTGTTCAATATCAGTGAAAAAAGATGTTGGGGACATGGTTGACAATGAATAAAATTAGCCAAATTGGAGCATATTTTTAACGACTGACCAAATATTTCAACATGAAAAGCAAATAAAAATGTAAATAAAGTAAAAAAAATTTTTATATATTGTTTTTATTTTTCATGTTACAATAAGCATTTGTGAATGTTTGATTATAAAAGCACCGCTAGTTGACATCTGAGCTACTCCCTTCATTACCTGGAGTTGAAGCTGTAGCAGTAGCCCTATGTCTTTGTCAGGAATATTGCTAATCCTCAACCATATGGTATTGCTTGAACAGGGAGAGTAGTATCAAAGCACTGAGGTGTACTGCAGTCTGGGCAATATGTGCAAGTCTAGCTTCTTTTAACTGCCGCCTTACACACTTTACAGTCTGGTAGTTTGTACCATGGCTGTCATATTGTTTTTAAATAACACTCAGTAAGTTGTTATGCTGTGACGTGTGGTCTAGAAGGTGTTACACTGTGCCGAAGAACAGCTAGTCTAAAGAAAGCTAGATTGACATCCTGCCTGAACCTCTCTGCTGTGACCTTATACACAGAGTTGGCAGTGTTGTAGCTTATACTTATATGATCATTGAACAGAGCAGTATCAACTAAAAATAAACAATATAATGGCAGGTTACTACTTATAGGATCTAGGTTGGTAGGCGTAGTTTGCACCCAGCTGGCCGAAGTGATTAAAACCACTCATACTGTTGTTGTATTTTTCTGCAAGAACTGGCTTATTTATTATTCTGCCCTCAAGAATTCCACTTTTCCTGTCTAGTCTATATTACCACCGAAGTAAACAGTTGATATCAGGTGAACTCTCTTAGTTTCATGACAGGTACCGACTAATATGCCTTTATATTTTGTCACACAAAACAGGACGATTTGCATTCTCCAATTTCAACTGGTTTTTCTTTAAAAAAATCAAAAACTGCACATCCAACTTTATCTGACATGGCACCTTGTTGTTCTTCATATGCAGGAAGATTTTTCAAGCTTAACAAGTTTTTTTGGAGTAGCCTTTCTGCATTTACAAACAGCATTTTCAGCTGCAGAAATGGTCGGGTCTCTTGTGCCACGCCTACTTCTTTGTTCAGATGTACCTACATCACTCTCATCATCAAGTCTATCATTGTTGTTGCTATCATCAGTTACGATATGACAATAACATTCACAGGTGAATCTCTGCTTATCCAGGAATTATCGTTTTCAGTGCTAAATTCGCTAGCAGATTCCAAATCATCAATTCTAGTAGTCTGGTTTTCATCATCAGACATGACAAAAAAGTTTAATTTGCGCTGGTAACGAACATTATCAAAACTTCAATGAAAACAGCGCTTGTATCGGCTCAAAACAATTTCGATCGTAGGCGCAGCCATTTTTGAATAATAAAAACACCCGAATGAAACTCAATTCAAAAATTATCAGTAGGGACATCGGTTAGCAGACTACATGTTGCGAACACAGATCGGCGAATTGGGTCACCAGGGGACAGGACCAGAAATTCGCCGATCTGTGAGTTTGGTCTGCAAAGTGTTAATAAAGTTCCCTCATGTTGTGGTGACCCCCAAACAATTATTTTTCTTTATAACTTTAATGAATTTGTGTTTTCCGATGGTCTTAGGCCATGTGAATGGGTCGTTTGACCAAAAAAAGGGTCGCAACTGGCAGGTTAAGAACCACAGTCTTACAGGAATGTTCCTATAAGCCAGTCCTTTCTCTAGTCTGGCACAGTCTTGGCTGCCTTATTTAGTATGTTCAAGAGTTTGCCTTTGTGCTCCACTCCTAGAATCATTTGGTGGATGTGGCATGATTCCTGTTCTGAAATTAAAATTCCTGTTTTATTTATTGCTCATATAAATGAAATAACTGAGATAAAACATACTTTACATATAAAATACAGTTCTGCTTACCATGTGAGTAGTAGGAGCTATTGAAACCTGTAGCTTTAGCGTCCCAATAATAATCATTAGATCTGAAGACAAGTCTCATCTGTTGACTTCGTGTTCGCAGTAACTGAGGATAGTTCTTTCCACAGTACTGACCAATGAGTCGATTATTTGTGCTGCTGACGTCATAAACCTCTACTGCATCCTTATAGCATTTGTCACTTGCATCCACATAGAACTGGGAAAACCTATTTTGTAAAACAGCAGACAGAAACATCAGATTTCAGAACATGTTGTCTAATTTGTTTACTAACAAAGAAAATGAAGCTTTTGGAACATTTACTGAAAGAAACTTAGAGTACCATAGACCAAGAAGAAGAAAAAAAACTGATATTCCTCACAACCTTAACATCCAGGGAGACTGGTTCACAGATCACATCATTTTTTGTTTTTAAAAAAAGTACTGCAACTACTGCAGTTCATTGTGCAGACAAGCTTGTGAGGCATATGGGGACACAAACACATCTCAGTGTAACCACTCAATTGGAGCTCTTATAAGAGCTGAAAGAGTGTATTCACCGGAAAGGTCTCTGAAACCATTACAAGGGATGAACTATACAGCACCTAATATTGATCTCTGCCTGGAAACCTCTGTGGTATTATTTACTGCCTATGTCTGTTGCAAGAAAAACAGAAACAAAGCCTGTGGACGGAAGGACAACCACGCCTCCAAAGACAGGAGAAACAAATCACCTTTCCAAGGTAGGAACATTTTTTTTATAGCAACAGAATTACCGTATCAAACACTCAGCTGGTAAAACTTGTACGCACACAGAATGAAGTCATTAGGGTAATTCTTGGATGTACAAGAGATACCCTGCTAGTACGTATGCCATATATACTTGCACTGCTAACTATTACAGGCAGGCTCAAAGTGCCACAAGCAAAGTCATATCTCAGAGTGGCTGCAGACAAGGAACACCTCCTGCATGAAGCGCTAGACAGAGATTAGGGTCACAGACTGAAAAGAGAAAGGTCTTGGATGGAACAATCACACAAGGATATACTACACAAGGGCAAACTACACAATGATATACTACACAAAAGGAATATACACAATGATATACTACACAAAACACATACTACACAAGGGCATACAACACAAGGGCATACTACACAAAAATAATATTACACAAGGATCTACTATACAAGGATATACTACACAATGCATACTACACAAGGATATACTACACAAAATGCATACTACACAAGGATATACTATAAAAAAGGCATACTACACAAGGATATACTATAAAAAAGACATACTGCACAAGGATATACAATAAAAAAGACATCCTACACAAGGATATACTACAGGAGGATATACTATACAAGGATATACTACACAAGGGCATACTACACAAAGATATACTACACAAAAGGCATACTAAATGAGGATATACTACACAAGGATATACTACACAAAAGGCATACTACACAAGGATATACTACACAAAAGGCATTCTACACAAGGATATACTACACACTTTTTTTGTCTGGGTCGGTCTCCCAAATGCCCAGCCTGGCCGCCCGACTACCCGAAGGATATTACGTCGGTAATCCAGACTGAACGGGAAACCGCCCGGCAGATTTTTTAAGATGGCATTGCCGATTGGGTTTCTCCCGTGACTTTGTTATGACCAATCCCGGGCTCTTTTGGCCAGACCAGTGGCGTAAAGCTACACTTTGTTTTTAGCCAAAAGGCAAAGAATATACTACACAAAAGGCATACTACACAAGGATAAACTACCCAAGAGCATAGTACATAAGGATATACTACACAAAAGGCATACTACACAAGGATATACTACACAAGGGCATACTACACAAGGATATACTACACAAGGATTTACTACACAAAAGGAATACTACACAAGGATATACTACACAAGGATATACTAAACAAGGGTATACTACACAAAATTATACTTTACAAAAATAAATTATACAAGGGGATACAATATAAAATATTACTACACAAATAAATATAAGTAATCTATAATATAATATAAATGGGCAGATTATTCAGGAGGATATTGCACAAATACACCCAAAACAAGAACAAATTTAGTCTATTCACAGTGACACAGCATAAGGTCAGCTGCAGCAAATATGTTTAATGTAAACATATAGAAAAGAGTTATATTCCCTTTATGGATACAATTTAGATGACACATAAACCAATGACCATGATAAATTACCTGAGGGAAACAACTGTATTTGGCTTCCCTGTAATGGTCCAGGTGTAGTTGACATTTTTAGGGTATCTGTTGGGGAATCCTTGACTCCGAATAGAGCCCTGCTCATCTGTGAGAGTTTTACCCCAGTCTGAAAGATATATAATTAGTGATTAGAAAGGATTATCATCACAGCACTCCAGACAGATCCATAGGTGCTCCAATCTCCTCCTCAAAAGCTCCACAAGTGTGAAATGACTGAGGACGTCTGTATGTTAGTTAATGAAACATCTTGTCCCCTTAGTGATATATTCATTTCTTGCAGCTCCAGTCTGCACCCCCATGTCCATCAGTCTAGTCTGGGATACAGAGTCATGTCCTTTGGCGTGCTCCTTGGTACGGTAAGTTCAGCGAATAGCATTGATAACATCACTTCTGTCCAGTACTGGGCCAGCCATAGCAACAGCAGGGTCAGCAAGATAGTCTGCACGCTCGTTCCCTTGAACACACGCATGACCTGGCACAAAGAAGAAGGTTAGGGCAGATATTCGTCAAGTGCTTAGTGTTGCAATCCATTCTTGCCTGATAAATCCAGCTTGGATTTTTTAAGCATATTCATCGAGTCACTAAGTATGCATATGTGTGTGAACTTTTGAGTACCAAGCCATGCTAATGCCCTTGTTACAGTCATAGTTTCCATTGTAAGGCTACTAGTTGTAACAGCAAAAAGCCCCATTCATCTCCCCGATGGTTTTCCCCCATGAGCTTACTTTGAATGCCCATGCACTTCGCTTGCTCCTAATTACTGATCCGTCTTTGTAAAATATAGCATCACCTTCATTTATGATTTTGTCAATCAGTGTTTTGACGAAAGTGTCAACAATGCCAGGAATCTGCTCTCTACAGCTTTCGTCAAGAGTGATATGGACTGTTTTATTAATGTATGGAGAAGGAGGCATAATTACCCATTCAATTCCAAAATAATGTCAGTAAGGCGGCAAACATGTTCAATGGCATCCTCAGCCCAAAATATATATATATATATTTGATATACTAAGTAGTTTGTTATTCAAAAGTGATGTTTTAGTCGAGGTAAACACATGGTAGGTAATGCCTTAGGAAATTAAAGTAATAATATATGCCTTCACATGAACTAGTTGACAGCATTATTAGGTAGGATGATCACCTCCCTTTCTCTCAAAATTCTCAATACTGACCAGTGCCTAGTTTGTAAAACTAGGTCAAACTTATAGACTTTCTAAAGGAAACAATGCTGCCACTACAAGAGAATGAACCCAGGCAAGTGAGACTTCTGCATGAAGATCTGACACCACAGTGACTCCAACTGTCAGTTCAAAATGAACAAGCTCTTAGTACCCTGGTCAACTGTAATTTCCTCTTAGTGTTCACCAGTGTGAACTGCAGCAGAAAGTTCTGGTTGTTTCTGTATTTCTGGTCTTTGGTCTTATTCCAGAACCTGAGTTTTGTATAACATCCATTTTACAGATCTGGCTTTTTATATGCAGACTGTTGGTTACTTGCCTTTCGGGCAGATGCACTCTGACTTCAAGGAAACACCCCTAATTAGACAACTTTTCCAACATGCTTGTTAGAGTGGCAGTAAGTCTACCCTCCCCCTCCCACCATTCCCCCCCTCCTCCACATGGGGCCCCAGAAGCCACACAGGGAGGTCAACTGTAGAAAACAGTAATATTAGACACAGACAAAAATTATGGCTAACAGGCTTATTGTTGACTTGTTGACCAGCAAGCTGTGAATAGAAGCCTTTGGTGGTCTGTACCTTTATTCCCCCCCCCCCCCCCCACCCCCCACTGCCTTATGACTACACCAAGTATTAACTTGGGGAATCCAGCTGTTCTAGCAGCTCCAGTGAACTAGATTTAAGGTCCTCCAGTCATTACACAAAGACCCTTTTCACATCATTAATGCACTGTGCATACGGTGCCAGACTCATACTGTTATAGACAACCCAGCACTCAGACTGAAGATGTAAACATCATGCTGCCCATCTTTACTTCCAAGACACATCCTGGTGCCCAGTTGGGCCTGACTCAACCTAGAAGCCCAGGTCAATTATTTTTAAAATCTGCTGGATTCAAACAAAGTTTTTTCACTGCATTGACTATTCATTAGGCCACATATCACTTCTATATGAATCCTCTGCCCAGAGTAGATACAGCAGTCCCATGTAGGCTTGCAGCTGTTAAATCTTCACAGAAACATCAATAAGGATAGTCAGAAATGTATTGCACTGTCATAAAGATACTTCAATAGCAGTGTCAAGTGCTGGGATAAAAATGGCTAAGACTGTCTAAATTCAAAAAGTCACAAAAAAGATAGTCACTGGGGTGTGAAATGTTTGGCATTCTCAGACTCTAGGTCATGGGTGGCCAGTTTCCTTCCTCATCACCTTCCCCTCCAGACACAATTTTAAGAAAATGCATCAAATTTTCTGGCAATTATCTGAATAGGACTGGGTAGAACCCAGAGCCCTAGATGTCGGAAAACATCCTGCCACTTCAGGAACAGACTACCCACCTTATACACTTGTATAATGGAGAAAGTGGGCGGACGTACGTGTGTGTATGAATTTTGTCTTTAGTAGTTCTCCAAATTTCATGAAAAATGTTAACTCTTGTGGTACTACGCAGATTTTTCTTTATCTAACTGTAGTCTGAGAATTTATCACTTAAAAGTAATTGACAGTTGGGTGTAGGTAAAAAGTAAAAAATTAAGGTCTCTTTACACCCCGGTGGAACCCGGGCATTTGAGGCTAGATTCATATTTTGACGGACCAGTCAGCACTTGGTGGCTGTTGTGTTCAACATCAAGTCACCCACTTTAATTCCCAGGACTTTAATTGTAGCCATTGGGTCTGAGTGGGTAAATTAATACTATCATTGGACAGGAGGAGTTAAACTTTAAACTGGGGCAGAGTTGGAACAACAGAACAGATTGCAAGATGTTCACAAAAAGCATTTTGTGATAGTCAAACCCAAAAAACTTACTGTGGGTTGCTTGAAACTAAATGAGTTTAAACTGAAATAAATTAGACTTGAAAATATGCAACTTAGTTTCAATGCTATATAATTTAGAGTTTCATATTTTGTTACAGCTTTTAAAAGCTGCTCTTGTCTTGCCAATGTGTATCATAATTTCTTTCTTTGTATTCCCTGGCCTATGAAACAACTACCTAAAAACAAGTGCAATCAAAGTGAACCTAAACAAACCACAAACCAAAATGTTAGTGACAATGATAATTCAAAGAGCAGAAGTCTTACCATCACAGGTTCCTGAAGCTTCAACAATGGTCCCATTCCAGCAGTAGCAATTAAAGGACCCAAAATAGTTAATACACTGTGAGTGAGCAGGACAAGGATTTTGTAAACATTCGTTTATATCGCTTCCACAATCAATCCCTTTATATCCAGGTTTACATACACATGGGCCTGTCGGAGAGCTGCACGACTGTGTTCCAGACTGGTAACATTTACAAGCTGAAAATTGCATATATCAAATCATGACAGGAAGATTCTTTCATTTTAACATGTCTTCCTACTACACATATTTCTTGTCAACTTGTACGTGCCTCTCTTAAATTTTTCTTCAATATAAAATGTTTTAAGGTTTTATGTTTATATTTCATAATAACATACTATTTACTCTTTCAGCCCTAGACTTCTGCAGAAAATGACCAACAGGAAACAATAACCACAGTGAAATAAGAACCAGTTTATTATTTTCAAAGAAGCAACATCTGATGTGCTACTTCTAAAAATATATAGGGAGATTTGTTTAGTATGCTCAGACCAAATATGGCCAATAATTACACCCATGTGGTATTTGATCAAATAGATAGTACACATAAATTTTTTTTTAGAACAAAGCAATCAAAAACAAACTATCAGAAAGTGTGTTTGTGTGTGTGTGTGTGGGAGGGGGAGGGGGGGAGGAGATTTCCAGCTGAGATATAAAAAAAGGCTTGCAGTCACTACACAGAGCAATAACTGGATTTTATTTCACCTCTGACAGATTAAAATCTCTAGTGTCAATAGAGTTATAATCATTTTCTTGTAGCACCAGGGTAGAACCATCAGCTGCCTTAATGACCATCAGAACTTATCTTTTCTTTACTAGGGAGTAGATAACATCTCTTCTTTAGTGGAAGGTGGAACACAGCTCTTCTTCAGTGCGAGGTGATCTTTTCTTTAATTGGAGGTAAAACCTATACATCTCTTCTTTAGTGGGAGGTAGAGTCCCTCTCTTCTTTAGTGGGAGGAGAAACCCACCTCTTCTTTAGTGGGAAGTGGAACCTTTTTCTACTTTAGTGGGAGATGGAAACATCTCTTCCTTAGTGGGAGATAGAACCCTCTCTTCTTTAGTGAGAGATGGAGCCATCTTTTCTTTAGTGGGAGGCAAAACACATCTCCTCTTTCAGAGGGAGGTAAAACCCATATGTGCTTAACTGTGAAGTAGAAACAAATCCCTTCTTTACTAGTAAGTTTCACTCTATTGTAAAGTAAAAATCATGGGATTGGGGTGTTTTGTCATGAAAGTTGCCTCCATTTAAAACTACTTTTTATTTTATTTATTGAGAGTGTGTAAATTTCTTTAGTATTGATTCATATTTCGTTTGGATTCTCAAAAAAATTTTGGCCACATAACTTTCCTTGGTTGTTAACATTTCCTCTGTCCTATCTCTCTGGAGCACTTTCTGTTGTCACTTCAAAATTAAGAGTGTAGGCTAGTTATTTGCGTCAGTGTGGTGAAGTGTCTAGGGGTGAATGGGTTCACTTAGGTCTATAGGAAAGTTACCAAGTTGACCTTCTGGCAACTAATAGGGTTTCCTGCCGGAGAGTGCTTCACTAACACAGTTCATATAGTCACATCGTACAAAAAATACCAATAACCGTCAGCAACAACACGTTAAAAGGCATCTCTATAATCATGCATCAGTCCCCCACAGATACTTATTGATCTGCCTCCAAGGCAGTGTCACCTCAAAGGGGAAAACCTAGTCTTGACTCAACATGAGTCCACAACATCAACACCTTTGGCCTACAAGCCCACTCCAGGGGTCACCAGTAGCCTTTCATAATCACTTCGGTTATGTGCCCACACTTTGGGTCACCACTAACACATACATAATAGCTGGCTAGAGACGCTGCCCCTAGTACACTAAGTCTCCCGGCACACCAAATCTCCTTACCCACAGTCGCAATCAGAACCTTACAAGGTACTATCATGCCCTTGCAGTAGGGTAATCTGGTAATCTTAGTTTCAGCTTCATAGCAAACGAGTCACCCCACAGTTTCTCCACTCCTGTGCCAACGAAAAACACACAGAATGTTTATCAGTCCCTTGTGGAAAGATTGACAGCAAATCTAGCATACACACGCATTAAAAGCATACGGTAGCCATCCGAAGTGCTAGAACAAACAGTCCGACAATAGAAATGCAGTTCATCATTGATGGTAGGAGAAGTCACCAAAAAATCAGCATTTTAATCACATAATGGCTCCCACCAATATGGCGACAACTGGCATCGCACCATTTTCTGAATCTACAATTCACACCACCACATTGGTCACAGTCAAAAACCATTCCAAATGAAATCCGCAGCTCAGTGTCAGCCATGCACTCAGAAGCTGGGCAACAAAACTAAATCCTCCCAGTCTACAAATGGAGCATAAATACAACGGCCACTATCTGGCAGAAGCAAACAATTTTGCCCCAGCTCAAAACAGTGGTTGTGCCTAGCATCCATTTTGACCTGAAGCATTATGTGAGGGTTAATAAACGGTCAACTCAGTAGTACCCTCACTATTAGCTGGGGAAGGGACTTAGGACATTACATCCACCTGCAGTCGCAGTAGGATAATGTAAAGTGTTGGGCTTTCAACACCCTGTCTCCATTAAATACACTCTACTGGAGCATTCCGAATTATACACCAAATTCTACTGAACAATCTAGCTTCAAACTAATAAAATAATACAGATGATTACACTAAAAATCACACACGTCCTAACTCTCTCACAGACTGAGGGGCACTGACTGGGCACAGGCTAACTTTCAGCTCAGCGTCCAGCCATGCATAAGTCTTGCAATATCCATGCATACCCTGTTGGCTGTGAAACTCCGGAAACACCTTTTTCCCCAACTTCATGCACAGCTTAGAAATTTTTTACTTGCCTTTGCCATCCTCATCATCATCCAGCGCCTCCACGACCGGCATAGGCGATCACACCTCTGACTCATGGTACAACTGAACAGCAAAGTGAGTTTAGCATACAACAGTCAGTGAGGGTGCAATTTAACAAGCCTTAATTCTCAAGCATGGCCTGATATTTGAAAAGGAGAGGACTTTGGTCAATAAAAAGATACAATTGTATGTAACTATGTCATTGTTGTGTGTGGGTGGGTGTGTTCAATTGACAATAGTTCTGTAATAATAGTTTCACAAAAATTGTTTGTTTAAAAGCTGACCTTTTTTCTAGTTGATTTGTCATTGTGTGCAGGTTAATAGTTTTATTTTAAACAATCAGGTGCCATCTAAATAATAAAGGTTGTCTGAGATGGATCACCAACACCCATCTTTCTTGTCTTGTTTGTACACTCACTCAGACTGCTGTTTATCCATCTCTCATTATTATTCCACTTGTATCACTGTTCAACCATTGGCAGCTTTTTTGTAATTATTTTCTATGGTACAGTTTCTATTAGTGAGTTTTTGTTAACGTTACTACAAATTTTGTCTCTCTCCAAACTCTATATGTGACTGTTTTTTGCTTCCAAGAAATATAATCTATCTTCTGATGTCTCCGCTGTTAACTTTAGAGTAGTTGCAAGGTGAAAATTCCCAATCTCTTCTACACTGACCAGTGGTGTTATCTAACTCCATTTTTAACTATAATGTTACGAAAACAATCACCACATACATCCATTATCTAACCTGATAAGCTGTACTTACCATCTGTAACGTAACTTGCTTTAAATCCCTTCTCAGTTGTGTTTCCTAGAGAACTGTAGATAATATGCATCGATCTATCTGTTGAAGACACTGTTTTAGGCAGCTGTCTGTCACAGAATCTTGCAATTAGATCACATCCAGAATGTTTACCATCAAAGACCTCTATGAAGTCCTTTCCACATTCCCCGAGGCCATAGTCTGTAAAACTATCAATGAGTTGAAACAAATGTTAATAATTAATCTCACAGGAATATATTTACATTTATTTTAGCTGCTATAGGAAAACTGAATTACATTCACATTTAGAAATTTGTAAAACATAAACCTCTATATTTTTGAAAACTGCTGAATGAATTATTTTAGAGAGCTTTAAAAATGCAGTAGTTACTGAGGTTGAACAACTAGAAGTGGCAGAATCTGTTTCACATCTTGTCAAACCAGCCTAAAAAGAGATGTACCAGACAAAACCCATAATCTTCTGGAAATTCTAGAAATAGTCTGAGAAGGAAATATGAGGAGAAAGGGAAGTGTTCACCACACATGAAGTCATGGCTAGAATCTGTGAAGGTCTAACACTTCACATGTGTAAATGGCTACAATGTGAAGGTCTAACACTTCACATGTGGACATGGCTACAATCTGTAAAGGTCTAACACTTCACATGTGGACATGGCTAGAATCTGTAAAGGTATAACACTTCACATGTGGACATGGCTACAATCTGTAAAGGTCTAACACTTCACATGTGGACATGGCTACAATCTGTGAAGATCTAACACTTCACATGTGGACATGGCTAGAATCTGTGGAGGTCTAACACTTCACATGTGGACATGGCTACAATCTGTAAAGGTCTAACACTTCACATGTGGACATGGCTAGAATATGTGAAGGTCTAACACTTCACATGTGGACATGGCTAGAATCTGTTTAGGTCTAACACTTCACATGTGGACATGGCTAGAATCTGTAAAGGTCTAACACTTCACATGTGGACATGGCTAGAATCTGTAAAGGTCTAACACTTCACATGTGGACATGGCTACAATCTGTAAAGGTATAAAACTTCACATGTGGACATGGCTAGAATCTGTAAAGGTCTAACACTTCACATGTGGACATGGCTAGAATATGTAAAGGTCTAACACTTCACATGTGGACATGGCTAGAATCTGTGGAGGTCTAACACTTCACATGTGGACATGGCTAGAATCTGTGGAGGTCTAACACTTCACATGTGGACATGGCTAGAATCTGTGAAGGTCTAACACTTCACATGTGGACATGGCTAGAATCTGTAAAGGTCTAACACTTCACATGTGGACATGGCTACAATCTGTAAAGGTCTAAAACTTCACATGTGGACATGGCTAGAATCTGTAAAGGTCTAACACTTCACATGTGGACATGGCTACAATCTGTAAAGGTCTAAAACTTCACATGTGGACATGGCTAGAATCTGTGGAGGTCCAACACTTCACATGTGGACATGGCTAGAATCTGTGAAGGTCTAACACTTCACATGTGGACATGGCTAGAATCTGTAAAGGTCTAACACTTCACATGTGGACATGGCTACAATCTGTAAAGGTCTAAAACTTCACATGTGGACATGGCTAGAATCTGTAAAGGTCTAACACTTCACATGTGGACATGGCTACAATCTGTAAAGGTCTAAAACTTCACATGTGGACATGGCTAGAATCTGTGGAGGTCCAACACTTTACACCTCGACCTGATAACACGGCTACAATCTGTGAAGGTCTAACATGCCACCTGAGGACATGGCTACAATCTATGGAGTTCTAAAACTTTACATCTTAAGCTGATGACATGGCTACAATATGTAAAGGTCTAACACTTTACACCTCAACCTGAGGACATGGCTACAATCTGTAAACACTTCACAATTGCCTTGTGGCTACAATCTGTGTACAATCCCTGACCGAGCTAGTGCTCAGTCTAAACTCTTTAGAGTTTAATGGACACTATTTCAACTAGATCAGCAGCGTCGCTATGGGCGCCAAGATGGGACCTAGCTATGCCTGCCTCTTCATTTGTTACTTCAAGCATAAGATATATCATGCATATACCGGTAGGCTCATTGAGCTCTACAGGAGGTATATCAAAGACTGCATCAGTGCCACTGATGTGCCTCTACCTGAAACACAGAACTTCATTCATGTTTTTCTCCAACCTGTGATCATTGCTATAATTTGTTAAGGTCTAACACTCCACACCTTTACCTGTGGACATGGATACAATATGTGAAGCTCTAACACTCCACACCTCCACCTGTGCACATGGATACAATATGTGAAGCTCTAACACTCCACACCTCCACCTGTGCACATGGATTCAATATGTGAAGCACTCCACACCTCCACATGTGCACATGGATACAATATGTGAAGCTCTAACACTCCACACCTTTACCTGTGCACATGGATACAATATGTGAAGCTCTAACACTCCACACCTCCACCTGTGGACATGATACAATATGTGAAGCTCTAACAGTTCGCACCTTCACCTGTGGACATGGATACATTATGTGAAGCTCTAACACTCCACACCTCCACCTGTGCACTTGGCTACAATATGTGAAGTTCTAACAGTTCACACCTCCACCTGTGCACATGGATACAATATGTGAAGCACTAACACTCCACATCTTCACCTGTGGACATGGCTACAATATGTGAAGCTCTAACACTCCACACCTCCATCTGTGGACATGGCTACAATCTGTGAAGCTATAACACTCCACACCTCCACCTGTGCACATGGATACAATATGTGAAGCTATAACACTCCACACTTCCACCTGTAGACATGGATACAATATGTGAAGCTATAACACTCCACACCTCCACCTGTGCACATGGATACAATATGTGAAGCTATAACACTCCACACCTTTACCTGTGGACATGGCTACAATATGTGAAGCTATAACACTACACACCTCCACCTGTGGACATGGCTACAATATGTGAAGCTATAACACTCCACACCCCCATCTGTGGACATGGCTACAATTTGTGAAGCTCTAACACTCCACACCTCCATCTGTGGACATGGCTAAAATCTGTGAATGTCTAACACTTCACACTTTCACCTGTGGACATGGCTACAGTCTATGAAAGTCTAACACTTTACACCCCTAATAGTAATGTCTGTTATGGGACAACTTTGACCTTTCACAGTGTAGTGTCTAGCATACTTGCTAGTTTAGTGGCAATGTGCTCAAATTCCCATTGAGGCAGAGATTTATTTTCAGCCATAGAGGTTCTCTGGTTGACCCATTCTAAACTAAGTATCAGGAAATTAGCTGGAGAGCTGGCATACTTTTATCCACAGAGTACCAACTGGTCTGCAAACATGGGGCTCACAGCATACCCATGGACTGATGACATTAAAGTCATAATACATCAGCCTCCTACTGACAATGGCTAGTGCTCTGGATGGAAAACTGGGTACAATAATTGTATGTGATCCCAAACAAAGGAAATCTGGGAATCCCCAGTCCAGTCCACTATTCTAGGGTGGTATGACATGACTTCATTCGTTGTTCAATGTGTGGAAACGTGTGCATGTGCACCTGTCGTAAAAAAACCAAAAACTGATTTGCATGCAACCAATTTTTCCTCTGTCTTCGTGGAAACTACTGTGTGCTGCAAAGTTCTCTGTGTGTGTGTGTGTTGTTGTGTAACTAACTATATGTGCAACTGTCAAGGGAGGATACGAATTGGTGATATTCGGGGAGGGGGGAGGAGGGGGGTGAAAAAGGTCATCTTGAGAGGATGGACTGACAGTTGTCTCTGTGATGAAACGACCTCAGTGTTTTCAGAAGTTAGTAAGTGCAATAATTTCTTCTGGTTATAGGGAGACAGAATTATATTTACTATGCCCTAAGCCCGAATATTAAATAACATTACCTAATACAGCCCCCTGGTCTACCTGGGAAAGTTCAGACATAGTGGCTGTAGGGATTGATTGTAGAACTGATGTGTAATATAATTATCTCCTGACCAGAGACCCTTAGGGGAATGCAACTCAGTCATAAAACTAATTATCCCCCCTTGAGATTATCTTCGTTGAACTGCAGACCAGACCCTAGTGTCATAAAGGTTACACACCGGCTATTTCAACTGATAAGATAAGGGTAGTAGGGAACTCCAGACATGGCGGCGTCCCCTGGACCAGTGTTTCACACTTGTCAGTGAGATTGGCTGTAGACTAGATGTTTACTACTTAAGAATGTTTGATCAGAGTGGTGTCTGTTAAGAATTGATTGAAAGACACATTGATAGCTGTAAGGTACTTCAGGGGCATGGCTTAGATTACTTTCTGTAGGGTAGGTTAGATACTAGAAAGGGGAGGAGTTAACTTTGCTAGTATACTGCTAGCATTTTAAATTTACCTCATAGTGCTGCCAGCAAGCCACAAACTCAGATCAATTGTAGAAAGTAATTCTAGTTGTTTGAGTCCTGTTTGGCAAATTGCTGGAATGTTCCCAGTTATGAGTGTACATTAATTTAAATCTTGTATTCGTAGGTTAGGAGCTAGCTTAGTCTATTTTTCCTTTCCTGATTTTTCTACACATTCTGCTTGAAATAGTTCTTTGTGAGTATTCAGTTACCTCATTTAGGGAACTGCTAAATCATTCCTATTTCTGGTATATTTGTATCACATGTTTTTCAGTGTATGTTTTCATGTGTATAAAATAAGATGTGAACAATGACATTTTCTATAATGAAATGTAATTATATTGTTTCAATTATCAACCCAAAACATGAGCCTGGACTGTGGGAAAATCATGCCCTCATGTGCAGCTATGTGGTTTGATAGCTCACCATGTGCTCACTGTCACTGGAAATACAATATTCCAGACAACACGCACACATAAAATGGTCTGGGTTTTCAGCAAAAAAACTGCTCCACATGTTCATGTAAAATTGTTCATGTTTGTTTCACAGCTCCCGTCAGGGTGAAGACCAGTCTGCTCTGATAGAACTAGAGAGTCACTTGCACGAACCTACATTGTGGGAGATCGGCAAGCTGGAAACAGGTGGAGAACAAGCTGGGAACAGGCGGAGAAGGAGGTGGAACCAGCTGGGAAGAAGCAGGAAGAGGTGGAAAAGCTTGACAGTGCCTCACGGCTGTCAGAGGTTTTATAAGTTACGTCAAAATCGTTTTTGTAAACTTATCACCATTATACTACCACTCTAAAACCAGGTGCTCAGTATTCTCGCTGAAGCATCTCATCACTATCATACCATTAGACAGTCACTGTTTGTGTAAACATTATAAACTGGTGAATGTCATCTAAATGATTGTTAGTAAGTAAAGCTGTATGTCAAGTTTTATACTACATTGTTTGTTAAATTCCAAGTGTATTCAGTCTTACCTGTTTAACTAAACTTTTAGATAAAATTACATTTGGTGGGAGCTCATTAACAAATTAATACCAGGAGAGGAGAAAGTCGGAGGGGTTAACTGTGTATCTTGATAACTCATTGGGTTCATCTTGATATTTATCTATCCCTTCTCCTACTCCTGTGGGTACCAAGTGCAGCTGTGTATATACATGACGAGCCAAATATGGCTGTTTTCTTGGATATCCAGGACGTTGTCTGAGATCAACATAGCTCGGATATTAGTCCAGTTTCTCTGGTGGAGGTGAAGTGTTGAGAGGTAAACTCCTACTCATCACAAAAGCATCTATCCACTTCGGGACACGCAAAAGTCTCCATTTATGTAAACTGCTTTATGTATACTGCTTGGCTATCCAAAAGCTGACATTCATGCAGTTTTACATAGCAGATCTGGTTGTTGTTGTTGTTATCGATCCAGCGGCGCATGAGCTTTCGCCCTTTGGCCCAATGCCATGTAGTGGAATTTGCATGTTTTCACAAGCTGTTCTTTTCCTCCGTACAAGGTGTTCCACTTGTCTGGTCTCGGAGGGAGTAGCGTTCTTCTTGTCTCACTGAGTTCTGGGCACTCAAAGAGATGGTGTTCAACAGTTTCGTAGGGGTAGTTACATAGCTGGCACTCTGGGGAGTGTTGTGGCTGTATTCTGTTTAGGTGTCCATTGAGTGGAGTATGTTGCGTTCTAAGTCTGAAGATGGTGGCCTGGTCCCTTCTTGTTAGATGGTTAATGCTGTCATTAGGATCAGGGCCAGACATATGTCTATAAACCTCTCTTCCAGTGTCTCCCATGGCCCATCTGTTCAACCAGGTCTCTTTGTTTATAGCTCTTATCAGTGTTTTTGCTGTCTGGAGGGTTGTCGCTGTAGGTGGTTGTTCTTGTGTTGCTCCTTTCTTTGCCAATCTGTCAGCTCTGTGATTACCTGGTGTGCCGGAGTGACCTGGAATCCACTGCATCACTATTCTGATGTTGTATGAGGTAATAAGCTGATCAGCATCCAGGATTATCTTGGCTATGTCAGTTCTGCAGCGTTCACTGCCCTCCAGAGCTTGAAGGGCAGACATTGAATCTGTGAAGATGACAATATTTTGGACCTTTGAAGGGTAAACATCCATTACAGTCTTTAGGTGGTATACTGCTGTTTCCAGTGCAATTATTTCAGCTTCATAGTTTGAACAGAATTCTCCGCATGCATCAAAAATCTCTTCAACAGATCCATCGGGATAACCTATGTAGATTCCGTAACCTGCTTTAATGGTAGCTTTAAATGCTGATCCATCAGTATAGACATGTATCCATTCTTGGGGGTAAGAATCAACGGTCTTTAGAGCAGATCTGGAGATGTCGTCATAACTACAACTGACCGACTGAACTGCTGCAACTCCAAAAAATGAAAAATGAAATGCTTGTCAACTCTTCATACTAGCAGTACACAAAAATAATAACCTGTCTGTAAGTCAAACAGAGATGAGGCCTAGCAGCCATGTGCCTTGTCTCATCCCGATGTCCTCGACAGGTGGGCTGCCAGCATCTTCAGCCATCATGACTGTCAGTCGCCACAGCACCATGAGATGATTCTTGGAGCAGCGTCTGGATGAATGAATGCAAGATGCCGTGCTGCTGCAGAAAAGCAATGCTGCTCTGCCTATCACGCACCAATGCTGACAGGTCAAGTAAATTTATGATGAAGACAAAGTAAGAGTGAGCAAGCGCTAGCTTCCTAACAGGCCAACCAAAAAACTCACACACTGAGGACAATTATATTCACCCCCTTTCCCCCCCACCCTTTTCCTTGAACAGTAGACTGGACTAGGGATTCCGTGTTTTATTTTATTTGGAGTAAGATACAATTATTACACTGAAAATTATTCCTCACTATGGGGCTTAACAGCAAAAGTGGAAGATCAGATTCTGATGATGATGGTGAAGAGGTTACTGGTAACTACATACTTGAGAGTCACTACATTTCCTGCTGCAACAGTAATGGTCCAAGTGACATAGACATTGCTGGAAGAGCCTGTTGGGTACTGTGGGCTTGTAATGTCACCAGAGGCAGCTGTCAGATCATACCTGGAAACCTGGTAATCTGTTTCACAGAAAGATAATTAATACAATTAAATTAGCTGACATCTGTAGCAAGGGTGTTATGAATGATGTTTCATAATTCTAAAATACTATGCTTTGAGTCAGATGCCAGTATTCTGGCAGCAGATTGTATCAATTTCAACAAAGCCATGATCAGTGATATATCACAGCAGTGGCTGTGATCAGGCATACTCAATGATTCTAGAATGTTTTCTTGCAATGCTTGAACAACAAAGAAAACCAGCAAGGGTCCTTTCAACTTAAGACCTGATTAGGTAACTAAGCACAGTTTCTGAAGTCCATATCAGAATGGAATTAAACATCAGTACCCTTGTCCTGTGTTTAGGTGATATTTTTTCTAGATAACCCGGCAAGTCCAGTTTTGTAGCACTGACAGTCAGAGGTGTGTACAGTAATTACCCTTAAGGGCAGATAATCTGACCAGCGATAATTATTTCCCCTGGGACTGTCTTTTATGAAGCTGTATTGACACCTGCCAGATTCAGGTGTCAAAGAGGCCATGTAACCAGGTGTCAGAGTAATTGGAGTGTAACTACTAACCAAGGTTTTTGGAAATGGGTCAAAGTGTGTGATCAGGTTTCAGATTTGTGTAGGGTTCTAATCACTTTGGGGCGTGAGTGCAGGGACTGGCCAGCTGGTGCTGCAGAATCAGAAGTTCAACAAATTATTCTTAACAATTCCCGCCCAAGTGATTGTATATACAGATGGCTCTGTGTTGAGGGACAGATGAAATGCATGGGGGTTTATAGCAAAGGCGAATGTAACGGACTCACAGAGCATGCTGAGAAAGGTGGAGACAGGCATGCTCCGTGCAGACGCTGATGAATATGTTGAGAGGGGAATCTGAGCGCCTATGGATGCGCCCGGAGTGATGTGAAGATAATCTAACTCATAACTGATTCCTCAGTTATCCATGACTTTTTTTGGGATCAACATAGCTCAGACATTAGTCCAGTTTCTCAGGTGTGTGTGCAGTGCTGGGATTCAAACCCACACACTCATTACTCTAGTGTATATCCATGTGGGGTTGGAGACTGGCAAAAAAATGAATAGAAAATTACCAAGTAAAACCAAACAGCCACAAATGCTGAGTTTGGTGTGTGAGGTCCTTCAAAGGTTATGCAACAATTTAATTAGCTGCTGTCTCCACAATGAAGGCTGGCTACAACAGACTCCCTAAATACTCTCAGGTCCAACCAGTGATTATCCCCATTTCCTCTGTAAATTCTTTAATAGTGGTGGCACAGTGTTTCTGCATTACCAAAATCCAGCTTTTTGCGACCAACCAGAGTGTAATCGTAAAGATCTGTATCATACCTTTAGGTGTATTGGGCATAAAGCAATAGAACTATATTGTATAAACCAATAAGCAGTCGTTGGGTGATGTGGTCAATATCACACTAGCCGCTTTTACTTTCCAGGACTAAACCTGGTACCCAGTCAGGGTGTGATCTGCTCTCCACTAACAAGCAGCCATCGTTGAGGTGATTGTATCAGTCTTTACATATCTGCTGCGAATGGCATCATCACTAACAGCCTGTTAACTCGTTGAGGCCGAAGCAATGCAGTCTGCGTCGATCATATGTCCCACACATAATAATTTGCATGTGTCCATTTCTAATATTCTGAACTATCATTGAAGTATTTGAGGAAGGCTACTCTTTGTATACAATTCTTAGTTCGCACATCTGGGTGCAAATTTATCCAAATCATTGCTAGCGTCATTTTCAGAGAGTGCATTTTCTGATTTTGTGTTCGACTGGACATGGATACCAATGTTTTGAACACATGTATAGGTCACAAAATTTACGTTTCTGTGGCTGAAGCTCTGATGTTTCAGTCAGATGTTTTCTAACTCTGATAATAAAAATTTTAATTTTTCGTAAAGTGATTCAGACGATGAATTTACACCAGAAGCGGCTGAGCATTCAGCTGTTCGTCCATATGAAGAGGACCCATTTTATTTGTGAAGGATGTGACAGTCACCCACACTTGCATCCAAAGGACTGTTTCAAACAGTACCATACTTTGGCTAAGTTTCATTGAAATAATTGCAACTACAGTCTATACATAACTACAAAGTTAATATTTTGTGTGTATAGGTCCAATTTTCTGCCATTTTTTTCTTTGAAACTTTGTTCAGCACTCTGTGAGAACCTAAACCCTCTGAGTGGTAAACTAACCTAGAAATTTATCCTAACTTTTGAATTTTTTTGGAAACTGAACAAACTTTTATATGTTATTCTGGGACTGAGCCTCGAGAGGCAGGGGGTAAGAAGTGTTGGTGTTGTGGGTAGTGGGTTCCCCCCCTTACTTCACCCTAGGTCTAGTGAATATCTGTTCACGAAAGGAGCGTCCATTGTGGTGTCAGCCTCTTGACCTAGCAAAACCTCTCTTACCTCAAGACCATTGTGCGTGGCGAAGAGTCACAGCCTCCCCGAGGTAGTCCCGGTAACTGAGGGTGCGAATCCCCAGGCAAAACACAATGGATCTAGAGGAGCAAACCTCGATAATAAACCCGGTGCACCACACCGTACTGCCCCCTGTGGGAGGGAAGGAGCCAGAGGTGTGCTGAACAGTCTTAGGAATGGAAACAAGTATGCTAACCCCCCTGAATACCGGAAATTATCGTGAAGGCACAGGGACTCAGGACGTGACGATCCAGTTGCCCCAACTACTCATGCTTAGGCCATGCTTAGAGACATGAAGAGCTCAGCGAAACCTGCAGGCAATCTGGTGGCGGGGAATGAGCACACTGTGAGCCCCACCTTAGCTACGTGTTAAAGGGAAAGGCAGAAACACAACCCATATTTCCTTTAGAACTGGTACAGGGCATTTCTAGCTGCTGCCCGGGGAGGTAGGTAATCCACAGACACCCCAGCACCACAATGCCATGAATATGTCAAAATTTAAGAATACATACGAGATCGGTCGTCGCCTCGTCTATCAAGGCCCGCGCCAGACAGTGGGAAACCAGGCTGTCATGTGCGAAAAATTGGCTACTGGAAAATTTGAAATAAATAGGGAAAACAGACACCCCAGGAGGAGGAAGAGTGGGAGGGAGAGCAAAAAGAACTCAGACAGCACAGCAAAAAATACACAGATGCTCAATATTCTGCAGCTGAACATCTGTGGAATAAGAAATAAGAAACTTGAACTTGCCAAACTGCTAAACAACCACAGGGTACACGTGGCTGCCCTACAAGAAACCCTGCATAAAGACTCTGATCTGCATCTCACTGGATATACTAGTTATGCCTGTAAGTGCAATGACTGCCGGGGCATAGTGACCTATATCAGAAATGACATACAAGGAGATGTAACAATGCTGTCGACATCTCACCCTACAGATGTGCAAAAAATAACTATCTGGCACAATGGAAGCAAATACACGATATACAACGTGTACAGCCCACCCCAGACAACATGCAACATACCAGAACTATACAAGACACAGTACCATAAAACCCTTCTTGTTGGTGACTTCAACGGACACTCGCCACGTTGGGGTTACCCTGACTACAATAGCACAGGGAAGTACATCGAAGATACTTGTGAAACAACTAACCTATTAGTGCTGCAGGACACAGAGTCTACACCTACACTGTTACACAGGGCCCACCTATCTCTCAGCAGACCAGACCTGACCATCTGCTCATCCGACTTAGCAGACGCAAGCTATCCCCAAGTCCTGGACGACATAGGAAGTGACCACAAACCTATACTCACAACTGTAAGCACCACCCCTAAATTACGCTTCAAGCAGAGAACTCGTTGGAATTTCCGAAAAGCAAACTGGAAACTATTTCAGGAAACATCTGACTGCCTCCTGGGAAGAATTGACAACAGCTGTGTGGAAACTTTTTGTGAAGACATAACACAAGCAATCCTGAATGCAGCGTCGAAAGCCATCCCAAGGGGCAGCCGGAAGGCATATAAACCTTTTTGGAATCAAGAAATTCAAAATACTATATCTGAAAGGAATAAAGCAAGAATATTTCTCGAAACTGCACGTTCAACAGAAGCAAAGATCCAATACAATAAAGCATGTGCCAGAGTAAAGCTTGTAGTTAATAAGGCTAAAAGAGATAAATGGACAGAAACTTGCTCCAACTTAGACCTTAGACAGAATGGAAATAAAGCATGGACTTTAGTTAAAAACCTCTCCGGAGAAAGTAGAAGGGTGAACCCAAAACCAGTGACAGATGGGAGTAAGACAATCACTGAAGACAAGAAGAAAGCAGAACATTTCAATCATTATTTTGCCTCGGTTAACAGAGCAGGTAAGCTGTCAGAACTCGATAGAACACAGCTCTCTCAGTTGAAGAAACAAGAGAGAGCTCCAACAGCCAGCGACTCCCTTTTTGAAAATGAATTTAGCATGGATGAATTAGAGCAAGCCCTGAAGAAATTAAAACCTAGAAAATCTCCAGGCCCAGATAAGATCCACAACGAAATGCTGCTACATCTTGGCCGGTCTGGGAGAGAAGTAGTTCTCAGGCTTATTAATAAAACTTGGAGGTCAAGCAAACTTCCAAGGGCATGGAGGAATGCATATATCGTCCCCATCCTTAAAACCAAAAAGCCTCCAGATGACCCCAAAAGCTACCGCCCGATATCCTTAACATCATGCTTGGGCAAAGTTGCAGAAAGAATGATAAACAGGCGCTTATATTGGTTCCTTGAGAGTTCTGGTGCTCTATGCCATGAACAGGCAGGCTTCAGAACCAACAGCTGCACAGAAGACCAGCTGTTCAGACTGACACAAAGAATACATGATGGCTTCCAGAATAAGAAACACACAGTGGCAGTCTTTGTCGACCTTCAGCAGGCCTATGACAGAGTATGGAGAAAAGGTCTCCTGATGAAGATGATGAGCATAGGAATACATGGCAGATTGTATAACTGGGTGAAATACTTCCTGATAGATAGAACAATCCAGACTAAGATGCACAACGCAATCTCTTCTAAAGAAGTCTTGGAGGAGGGCTTGCCACAAGGCTCATCATTGAGCTGTACACTATTCCTAATCTTTATCAATGACCTGCCAGAACAAATCAAGGCTGAAAAAGCCTTGTACGCTGATGACCTAGCAATATGGCAGAGTCATGAAAATGTGGAAAGTGGAGCCCAAAGACTGAATGGAGACCTTAGAAGACTGCATGATTACTGCCAAAGATGGAAACTCAAGATTAACTGTGCAAAGACGGTCTACACAATCTTTACCAAAAGCCACCAAGTAGCAAGGAAGAATATTAACCTGAGGTTAGACAAACACCAAGTGATGAAAGAAGAGCATCCCACATACCTTGGAGTCACACTTGACCCGCAGCTCAGCCTCAAGAACCATATTGAAAACATCAGGAATAAGGCATTGAGGCGGTTACAGTTATTAAAGAGACTTGCAGGTACATCATGGGGATCAGACAAGGAAACTCTGAGGGGCTTATACCTAGGATATGTTCGCTCTGTGATAGAGTACAACAACTCACTGCTTACAACTTGTTCCAAAACTAACCTAGAGACTCTTGACAGAGTACAAAATAATGCCCTCCGATTAATCTGCGGAGCTATGCAGTCTACACCAACTGCTGCATGTGAAATCCATACAAATGTGGAACCCCTCGGGTTGCGGAGAGAAAAAGCCACTTTAGAAATTTATGAAAGATGCGTTAGGAAAAATCGTAACCATCCTAATAGACATCTTGTAGAAAACTGGGAATCCAAACAAAGAATAAAGCACAAATTGGTTTTACACTGTGTTAATGAAATTCAGGACAGATACCACCTCCCAGAAAGACGTCAAGGAATTCAGAATGTTGCAAAAAACCTACCACCACATGCTCGCTTTAAAGCTCCAGAAGTCCAAACTAAATTGGTAGGCGAGGAAACCAAACAGTCCGACCCAATCGCTCTTATGAACTCATCACTAAAGACCGTTGATTCTTACCCCCAAGAATGGATACATGTCTATACTGATGGATCAGCATTTAAAGCTACCATTAAAGCAGGTTACGGAATCTACATAGGTTATCCCGATGGATCTGTTGAAGAGATTTTTGATGCATGCGGGGAATTCTGTTCAAACTATGAAGCTGAAATAATTGCACTGGAAACAGCCGTATACCACCTAAAGACTGTAATGGATGTTTACCCCTCAAAGGTCCAAAATATTGTCATCTTCACAGATTCAATGTCTGCCCTTCAAGCTCTGGAGGGCAATGAACGCTGCAGAACTGACATAGCCAAGATAATCCTGGATGCCGATCAGCTTATTACCTCATACAACATCAGAATAGTGATGCAGTGGATTCCAGGTCACTCCGGCACACCAGGTAATGACAGAGCTGACAGATTGGCAAAGAAAGGAGCAACACAAGAACAACCACCTACAGCGACAACCCTCCAGACAGCAAAAACACTGATAAGAGCTATAAACAAAGAGACTTGGTTGAACAGATGGGCCATGGGAGACACTGGAAGAGAGGTTTATAGACATATGTCTGGCCCTGATCCTAATGACAGCATTAACCATCTAACAAGAAGGGACCAGGCCACCATCTTCAGACTTAGAACGCAACATACTCCACTCAATGGACACCTAAACAGAATACAGCCACAACACTCCCCAGAGTGCCAGCTATGTAACTACCCCTACGAAACTGTTGAACACCATCTCTTTGAGTGCCCAAAACTCAGTGAGACAAGAAGAACGCTACTCCCTCCGAGACCAGACAAGTGGAACACCTTGTACGGAGGAAAAGAACAGCTTGTGAAAACATGCAAATTCCACTACATGGCATTGGGCCAAAGGGCGAAAGCTCATGCGCCGCTGGATCGATAACAACAACATATGTTATTCTCAAATTTGGATATTCACTGCTCTAGTGGCTGCAAAACCATAGCAAGGAAGATTTTTTTATTGTTACAAAACATAACACCACTGTTGAATTATTTTTTCCTACTAAATTTAAGAGCATTAAACTAAAACATATTATCAGATTCAAAATGTACATTCATTCCTCTTTAAAAAAACATACACTTTAGTAGGGATTAGAAATACATTACATGCTCAATTGCCTTTTTTCCTACACATTGCCCTTTTGTAAAGAGAAATTAATGTGAGCAAAGCCTATCAAAATTCATGGGCCTGAAAGAGTTGAACCTTTTGAATTTTTTTATGCAAATAGATATATATGTTTTTGTATAACTGTCAATATGAGAAATGTGTGTGCATGTGTGTGTTTCAGTGCGTGTGTATGTCTGTACCTCTGTGTGTATCTATGTGTGCCCCGCTTTGACATATGTACCTACAGCTATTCTTCACCAACTTCCGCATTCACCCTTGAAAAGTTGTTTGCACATTGTGTTGTTGTTAATGTCTAGACTAAATATCTGCTCATTTTAGCCTGATACATCCGATTTTAGAAAACAATTAACTAGTTTTTTTTTTTTTTACAACAGGGGCAGTAGGTATATTACTTTTTCTTCCCACACAAAGCCCCAGAACCCACACAGGGCAACTACGGCTGTATCTTCTGCTTTAACTTAAGTATAGCATACACATACAATCAGACATTTCTTACCATTCACTGAATAAGCTCCTGAAAAGTACATTCTAAATCCCAACCAACTTCCAGGTTTATAGTAAGCAAGATACAGGGTGCTATTTGAGGACTGGATACTGCTTGGAAAAGTGTTATAATAGGGGCCACAGAATCGACCAAGAAGTCTGGCAGCAGAGTTGCTACCATCATAAATATCTAATGTACCATCGTAACAGTGTTCCCGATAAGTGTCCCAAGATGAAACATACATGTCAGAAATTCTGAAAAAAAAAATGTACTAATTATTAACATTTGTTTCAATTACTGTTAGGTGTATACATATACAAGATTTATCAATATAACACACTTTTTTGCATACATAAACCAGGAATTCACATCTGACCGTGGCCAACTGTCACAAACAACCTTGGGGAACACTAAAAGCCCATTAACAACTACTGACAGATATAGATGAAGAGGACCTAGAAGAGATGGCACAGATGTTCAATAACAGTATCAAAACATCACTGCCCCAAAAATCAGCATAGGTAAATCATTCCAGTGCCTAAGCAATACAAGGATGACTCCACCATAAACGGGTATCAGAACATTACCCTGCAGAATACATTCAGTAAGGTCCTGGAGAAGATAATGGCTAACACGCTGCACAGGTGATCTCTCGTCTGTGGCATGAAGATGAAAAGTAGTAAAATGGAAGAATACTGAAGAGAATGTCTGCAGTCACTGGTTGCCACCCAAAACTCTAGGTGGAGGAAGGGGGAGGGGAGGGGGGGGGAAGACAAGTAGTTAACTTGATGACAACGGGTACCATCAGTAAAGAGACATCGCTGGCTGCTGAGAGGGAAGGAGCTAGTTTAGGCTTGTCCTGAATATAAACAACTTTATGCTACAGCTGACCACAACATAAGACAGTACACTAGTCACAATGCTATCGCAGCTGGTTAATTAAAATTACCTTAATGAAATGGTTTTTCCACTCTCTGCTTTGATAGTCCAGGAACAATTGGTGGTGTCAGAAGAACTTTGTGGATAGTTTGGAGACTGTATAATTCCTGATGAGTTTGTGAAGGTGGACATGCAGTCTGAAGAAAAAGAAAACAATATATTGTAGTACCAATCTGTATTGCATCACTATTCATCATATTTCTGATTTTAAAATAAACAACTCTAAACCCTTATTTCTGCTGTATACAGGTATTTTAAACTGTCACAATGAATGTGATGCTTGCTTAACTCTTTGAGTCCCAGGGGGTTAACATCAGAGGCCCAAGGGGTAGTCAAAAGAGATGTAAAATTAGCGCATCTTGCGTTTATTGGGCTTCTAGGTAGGAATTTATGAACGTATGATGCGTTCCTTGGTACTTAAAGAGTTAAAAGTATTATTCAACTTCTGTTAGTAGTGTCATTGTTATTAGCTACTCCAGACTTCATTCTGATTACAGGCAATAGGAAGTAATCGACAGAGTTACCCACCCTTCCATTCATTAAAAAAAAAGAAGCACCAGTATTGTAGGTTAGTTGCATATCCTTTGCAGGACTTTGCAGAACCAACCCCAACAGCCCCTGGCTGTTGTGTGGTTTTTCTAGGCAAATTTACGTCCAGTAGTTTGCCATTGCTTTCTGGACAGTCGGCTTTCTTGATACCACTGTCAAAACCAATGCAGGCGCAAGACCCGCAGCTGGGATCGAACCTGGCATCCCGGCATTACGAAGCGTTCACATCGACTTAGCCACAGAGCCGACACCAGTATTGTAGTGTCTTAAAATCCAGGAAGGCTAATCTGGGCGACATATGCCTGCAGAAGTCAGATGTGTCGGCTGAGAGGTGCAAATATAGCAGCTATGTTGTAAACAATAATGCAATTACACCTTTGGATAAACATATAAGAAGTGGCTTAAAATGGAATGTGATTCTGTAATATGCAAGTGTTCTTACCTTTACAAGTTTCACTATGTGGTTTGTCAATGCCTGATTTACATGTGCATTTATACCCTCTAGGTCTGCTAAAACAGTATTCATCAGAAATCTGGGAGGAAGGAAAGGAGGAAAAAAAAAAAGAGAGAGAGAGAGAGAGAGAGAGAGAGAGAGAGAGAGAGAGAGAGAGAGAGAGAGAGAGAGAGAGAGAGAGAGAGAGAGAAAGACAGAGACAGAAACAAGAAACTGGGAAAGACACAGGGATAATGTTTTTGTGTGTGTGTGAGAGACAGATAGAGGAAGACAGACAGAGACAGACAAACAGGCAGGCAGACAGACACACACACACACACATACACAGAGAGAGACAGAGACAGAAACAGAGACTGGGAAATACACAGAGAGAATGTTTGTGCGGGAGTGTGAGTGTTTAAGAGAGAGAGACAGAGAAATAGACATAGAGAAAGACAGACAGACACACAGACAGAGTTAGAATGAAAGAGAGTGTATGTGTGTTTGAGAGAGGAAGAGAGAGGGGGGAGAGGAGTGAGAGAGAGAGAGAGAGAGAGAGCATTAGCTGCTTCAACAGAGAGCCAGGAAAGTGGATATTTACCGTGGCAGTCATAACCACCAGGTCTGTTAATGCACTGTGCATTGGGATTCTGGCAGACACTTCCCTGAAGCTCTGTGCATTCATCAATGTCCTTGGAACAGGTTGGCGAAGTCCATCCTTCAGAGCAGATACACCCACCAGTGGTGAGGTCACATGACTTTGTACCACTGGCTTGACATGAACAACTTAGACGACAGTCTTTGCCAAAAGTCACATTGCTACATGCTGGAATATAAAAAGAAAGCTGCATACTCTAAAAAATGACATTTATATACGCTGCAACATAAAGAGGATGCACTGTACCATTAGCAAACCACACCACTACATGCTGTAATATAAAGAGAATATCTCATACAGTGGGCTGAAATAAATTAATCTCAGATTTCACATAATGCATTATAAACGTGTCTGATTCCCCTCTTGCAAGATTTGGGTGAACCTCACCATGTTGTTACAAAGTGAAGACCATGCAATGGATAAAATGATGGCAGCAAGAAAAACTTTAGAGAAACGCCAATCTCTGCATCTTCTTCCAAACCTTGCTGAGGTAACTGAAGGAAAAGCAGAAGAGGAAAAAGAAGAAGAAGAAGCAAGAAGAGGAGGAAGAGAAGAAAAGGGAGAAGAAGAAAGAGAAAAGGAAGAGGAGGAGGAAAAGAAGAAGAAGAGGAGGAGGAGGTGGTGGAGGAAGAAGAGAAAGAGGAGGAGGAGGAAAAATAAGAAGAAGAGGAGAAAGAAGAAAAAGAAGAGGAGGAGGGGAAGAAGAAGAAAAGAAGAAGAGGAGGAGGAGATGGTGGAAGAGAAGGAAGAAGAAGGAGGAGGAAAAGAAGAAGAAGGAGGAAAATGAAGAAGAAGAAGGAGGAGGAGGATGAAGAAGAAGAACAAGGAGGAGGAAGAAGAAGAAGCAGGAGGAAGAAGAAGAAGGATGAAGATGAAGAAGGAGGAGGAGGAAGATGAAGAAATAGGAAGAAGAATTAGAGGTAGAAGAAAACAGCAGGAAAAGATAAAAAAGGAGTAGGAGGATGAGGAGGTAGAAGATAAGAACAACAATAAAAAGAAGAAGAAAGAGGACAAGTGAGAGAAAAAGAAGATTAGAGTTCCTCACCCTGGCAAGTGTTTCCCACCAACTTCATGTTGTCTGGGCAGTAGCAAATCTCCTGGGCTGTCTGATCCTGGAAGACTTTCACACAGAAATGTGAGCACCTGTGTCCTGCCTGGCAGCTAGCTCCGGGATGTACTGAAACATTTACAGAATTCACTTTACATCATATGTTGTACAAACCAACACAGCAAATATTAATCATTCACAGAATCCAAGTCACACCACATGTTGTACATACCAACACAGCTCAGTTAAAGCATTTATAGAATCTAATTTACACCACATGTTCTACATACCAAAATAGAGATATTTATAGAATCCAGTTTACACCGTATTTTGTACACACCAACACAACTGATATGAGACAGTTAAAGAATCCATTTTACACCACATGTTGCATCTAATAACATAGCCAATGTGAGACATTTATCATCATCATGATGTAGCAGGTTCTTTGCAGAACATCGCTCTCATCACGGTCTGCCTGAAAGAAACTCGGTATCTTGCCAGCTCTAAAGCCTCATGTACTTCCATGCTCAAGGAGTCACTTATAATCTGTGCACATACACTCTGCCCCTGCCCCTCCTTCCTGGTATCATGCCTTCTGCTATAATTTTGTTCCAATCTGTCGTGGCACTTGATATGACCAAAATATTTCAGCTTCCGAGACATTTTTAGAATCCAAATTATACTGCATATTGCACATGCCAACACTGTTGACGTAAAAAATGTGCATCACACATTATTTCAAAACAGTCAATGTATGACATTTATAGAATCCAGTTAAAACTAATTGTTGTACATAAGAACACAGTCAATGTAAGACATTTACAGAATCTGACTTATCTCACATGTATATACCAACACAGTCCAGTGTAAGATATTTACAAAATCCAATAAACACCACATGTATATACCAACACAGTCCAGTGTAAGATATTTACAAAATCCAATAAACACTACATGTATATACCAACACAGTCCAATATAAGAAGTTTACAAAATCCAATTCATACCACATGTATACCAACACAGTCCAATATACGATGTTTACAAAATCCAATTAACACCACATGTATATATATATATATACAAACACAGTCCAATGTAAGATGTTTACAAAATCCAGTTCACACCACATGTCTGTACTAACACAGTTCAACGTAAGATGTTTACAAAATCAAATTTACTTCACCTGTCTGTACCAACACAGTCCAATGCGAGAAGTTTACAAAATCTAATTTACCCCACATGTCTGTACCAACACTGTCCATTGTAAGATGTTTACTACATCTAATTTACCTTCCATGTGTGTATCAACACAGTCCATTATTTCTAAATTCCTATTTTTTTCTGTCCAATTACTATGATATCATTAAAATATGAATACAAAAGGCAAGAGGAGCTTTCATAACACTAGGGAATTTGTGGAAGTCAAAAGAAATTTTTAGAAATACAAAACTTAACATTTTTATTTCTAATGACAATTCAGGAAACATAGATAACGACTAAGGCAGTTACTAATAAATTACAGACATTCATTAACTGGTGCCTGCGCAGAATAGAGGGAATTGAATGGTATGATAGAATAACTCATGTAGAGCTTTGGGAGAGAACTAAACAGGCTCCAGTGGACCAAGAGGTGAAGAAAAGATGCTGGTGTTGGATAGGACAAAATGTGAGAAAGCTGGAGAACAATATAAACTAGAATGTCTTTGCACTGGAACCCACAAGGGCATAGGAATAAAGGAAGACCAAGAAACACATGGAGAAGGGAGCTAGAGAGTGAAGTTGAAATGATGCGGATGACATAGGGAGAGCTGCATGCAATGATAGCAAAGCATAGAACGACCTGGCGTGAGTTGGTTGAGGGTCCATGCTCCAACAGGGGGTTAGAAAGGCAGAACTAACTAACTTTGATAATGTGGATAGAATCCTGTCAAGCACATTTGGCCTCTCTCATCAACTTTCACTTGAGGATTTCTCTTGGACATTCTTGTTTCCTCAAACCCTCTATTTCCCATTGCTTGGTGATTCTCTATTTGTCTCTTCTCAGAGCTTGTCCAATAGTTCACCAAACTCACCATTTTCTGTGTCTCACAAATGTTAATACTAGGGGTTTCCCAGATACTTCTCTTATTTCTATGAATATTCAGAAGATAGTTGTTTCAATCAAAAACTTGGAATTGATTCTGACACTGTGCGAAGTTGAAATTTACGGAGGCTGTCTGCGATGCTCAGAACTATGAACATTAGTGTGATTTTGAATAACTCGCTTCTTCCTGCTGCTTTCCATAACTTCAATTGTTCTAGACACTGTGATGCAAGAATATTTGTGGGGAAGCATACCAAAGCATCTTGGTTTTGGGTTTCTCCTTTCATCAATATAAAGGAGACTTGATGTGGTGGCTTTCCTTGAGGTAATCTCGATAAAACGCTATCTTTTCCAACCTGACTGCTAGGACCTGGTCATAAGTTATGTTTATTAAGCAAACAATGATCAGTGATGACATCAGAAAACACTGGCCGCATCAACAACATTGATGACTGTATCAGTCCTTTCAACTCCATATGGCATGTTGTGGGTGTTTCTTCAAGTTCATCAAAATCTTGTGTGGGTTCTAATAAACGCAGCTCAGCCCTGGACATAGATTGTGACCTGTCATTCTATACACACTGTCATTCTATATAATTGTAGCCACTACATTGTTAATGTAAACGAACAGTGACAGAAGATGCATGGCACCTCCTAGCAAATAAATACAGAGTGTGTCTTGGATTTCACTTGATATATAATTGTAACCGACTAACAGAACATGTTGAGAAATGGGGTGACCAGTTTGGTCCGTGAAGAGTTGCAAGCATTGCTTCAGAGGTCCCAGGTAGTAAGCGTCCTTTGGATATTTTCTCTAGGTGTGATGTTGTATTAGGAAATGAACAGACAGACAGACTGGCTGGTTCTGCACAACCTGGTTGTGAACTGATGCATGACAAGCTAGATGTTGTAATGGCCCTTTGGGAGCGAGTGAACAGTGCTGAAGCACAGATGGATCATCATGGTCTGAAGAGAACAGTTCCAGACACAAGGGGGCCGTATGACAAGCTAGATGTTGTAATGGACTTTTGGGAGCAAGGGAACAGCGCTGAAGAGAATAGTTCTAGACACAAGAGGCTGTGTTAGTGAAGTCGATAGGAGACTCGCTTTCAAATCCAGCTGCGACTTGTTGCAGCCCACGGCTGGTTTTAAAAACCGGGCGGTTTCCAGGGTTTACCCAGCCTCTAGGTAATGGGCACCAGAGTTAAGACTCTGGGGTAAATGGAGAAACGTCGCTGTAGCTACAAAGTTGCATGCAGACGGCGACACAGGCGGACAGTTTCTTATCAGCTGTATTTACTGGTGGCAGAGCACTTATGGTTTATAACCTTGTGCAATGATGCTGGTTCACATCTCTCAGACTTTACCTTTTTAAAGAGAATAATAATGCGAGGAGTACGTGAAGATGACATTGATGCAAATTATAATAATACTGAAGCACAATCTGACACAATACAGCATGTATCTATTCAAACATCTGTACGGCTGACTGACTTTCTACCCTACTAGGACATCACACAAGCGATAAACACCCGATGACACAAAGTGCCACCATGTGGATGAGGATCGCCATGGAGAGGTCCCAGAAACGGCGTTCAGACAATTGGCCATATTTATGGCCCGCCTATATTGCGGCCCCTAGCAAAAGCTAGGGTGGGGCTTCAAATAACAAAAAATTTCATCCTAAAAAGAACGAAACGATAGACATAACATCTGTAATGGCTCAGAATAATTATAGATAACTGAGCGTGGAAACGAGTTTGAGGTATCTGATCACATGAACAAATTTGTCAAAATCGTCTTAAAAACAAAACACAGTATTTTCAAGGTAGATAATGAGTTGAAAGCAAAGAATTTGCTAGAATGAGGTACCATCAGATTTTTTTTTAAAAGTGAAATTAAACTATTCTAATTATATTATTCTAAAATAATTTAGAAAATTTAAAAAATCTTTCTTGTTGTTTTCATGGATTGTTTCCCTTGTATCTGATTGCGCCTCCCTCCCCTTTCCCCCAGTCTAGTTCTTACATTAATCCCCTTTTCCGCAATCATTACTATAACTCTTTCGGTCCAATATAGTTATTATTGCATTTTATTTAAACTCAACAGTTATTGGTTACAAGTGTCAATAGTCAGAACAGAACCCAAACCTACCTTCACAGTTGCCATTGGCGTTTTTAACCAGCCCGTCCTTACACAGACACTGAAAGCTTCCTACAGTGTTCACACACTCCTGGTAGTCATAAGGACACGTCTCCACAGTTCGATTCTGGCACTCATCCACATCTTGGGAACAGTCACCTGAACCCCACCCAGGTTTGCAGACACAGAGCCCATTTGTACTGTTACATGAAACGGTCTTGTCTCTGACACAGTTGCAGGTCTGGTTGCACGACTCGCTTCCATATTTGAATTCCGGGCATTCTGTTGATGGAAGTTTATATACAGGATACGAAACAAACTTTTTTATAGACAGTCCTACTAGTTAGTTCCCCCTCGACCCCATTTCTTCTTCTTCAAGCACAAGGTCCGACAATTAAGTAATGAGCTAATTAAAAAAAAAAATTTAAATAATCAAAAGTCGAAGATATAACCTGCATTTTACTCAAAGTAAGCCTCTTGTGCATTGATACAGCGAGTGGCATGATCTAACAAACACTGGAACGACCACTGTAATTCTTCCATTGTTATTTCCCTTAAAGTCGATGTAACGGTCCCTTGGATGCCATCAATATTGTCAGAGAAGCGTCCTTTCAATGGCAACTTTAATTTTGAGAATAGAAAATAGTCACAGTGAGACAAATCTGGAGAACAGGGTGCATGGTTGAGAACGCGCATCTGTTTTATGGCTAAAATTTCCTGTACAACTACCGCCCTTTATGCTTATGCATTGTCATGAAAAAGGAAAAAATTGCCAGGTGTTGAATACAAACTGACAAGCAACTTTTTTCTTGCCTTAAACTTCAACTAAAATTTTACGAAAAGTCTCTGTATTAACACCAAATTCATCTACCATCATCCTCACAATCTAACAACAATCTTCTTGTATCCGTTCTCGGAATTTTGCAATGAGTTCCCCATTACGATCAGAAATTGGATGTCCTGGTCTAGTTGCATTAGTAATAATTTCCACACCACTTTTGAATCGTGAATACCAGCTGAAAATGTGTGCAAGAAATAAACAATTATTCCCCCATAAACTTGTCACATCAATTCAACTGTCACAATGGCGCTTTTCTGAGTTTTAAACAGAATTCAAAGTTAGCTTTTTTGCTCCATGCTGATTACACAACAATGCACCTCTGACTAGGTTACCAAAATGGCGGCTTGTTTGCTGTCTGCTTATCGGGCGACGATAAAAAGTTCCCATATCATAGACGAAGGTTGCCTCTTTGGATTCCATGCTTTGATTCATAGATGGCATTTTTATCTTGGCTATGATAAAATCAGTCTATTTACTTAATTGTCGGACCTTGTATTTTACAGCTGATCTCTATGACATAGTTTAAAATTGACCAAAAAAACATGACGTCACCAAAAAACCAAACGACGAATGTTAATGAAAGAGGTCAGAGATGATGGGCTGTATTTAATTAAATATTTAATTCATTGTTGTAGGGTGCAATTATTTGTCACATTAGAGCTCGCACTTTTTTCTTTATTACCTTCTGTCCTGTGCAATTGCTTCGATATCATGGATGAAACGCAGCCCAGCATCTTCGGCTTCTCTCAGCAACGTTCGCTTCAGGGTTCCTACTGAATGTCCTTGTTTTCCCAATGCATCTATTTCCCATTACAATACCTGTTTTGATGGTTCTCTGTTCTCAGAATATGTCCAATATAGCGCTATCTTCTCTGTCCTTTAATTATTGATACTGGTGGTTGCTCAGACATTTATGTAATTTCCTAATTTCTTTTAAATTCATCTTATTAAATGTTCTGTCATTTACCTCAGGTATTTGTTTTCATGTTCACTTAATATCCGTTCTATGTTGTTAATGGGTCTTCAACTGTTAAGGGTACATGTTACAAATAAAACCATATTATTGCTTGATCTTAGTGTTAACTATATTTCTTTGTGGTGGCAGGGCTTTCTAATCAGGTGGCTGAACCATTTTATTTATATTTTTTTTTTATGAACCATATGACTCCTTTTGTTTTAACCACCATTTTAAGTGTGTTTTTTTTTTTTCTGTTACACCGACAGCTTTCGGAAGACATTTTATCTGATTTTCAGCCAATTAGTTTTATAAGCATTTGACACTTGAGGCAAAACCTCGGCAAAAATTAGTATTATTTCTAAAAGTCAGAAGCTGTGGCAATTTGGCTGACTGGTAATTTTTATTTATTTTTAGGTAAAGTCACATTGTCAAAAATTGGCATCGCAGCACCATATGCGCTCCGCCCCCATCTTCAGCAGCCAGCGCAGAGTTCCAGTACTAATGGTGCCGGTCGTAGTCTGGTTGTATGTACTTTTTGTCTTTCCTATGAGCGTAGTGAGCTGTCCGAACTACCTGGCCACATCCAGGTGCACCATTCTCTCTAGCCAATAATAATCAAGTTTCTCTTCCAACTTAATTATTTGTTCCCAAAGGGCTTTGACCACATCTGTCTTGTCATGTATCAGTTCACCACCCAGCGATGCAGATCCAGCCAATATGTCTGACTGTTCATTCCCCACCCCGGCATGACCTAACAAAAAAAAAAGATCCAAAGTATGCTCACCACCCGTGACCTTGCAATTGAATCTTGCCACTCTGCTCGAAGCAATCCTGTCTTCACTTTTTTCAGCATGATTTCAGAGTCCGTTATAATTACGACATGTGTATGTATCTTGCTCTCTAGCCACCGGTAAGCTGCAGTGACTGCTTCCACTTCCATTCATATGCTAAATGATATAGTTAATGTTCCCCCTCCCCCACACCCCCAGATGAAAGCAAGATTCTTGTATCGCTCAAAGATGTGGCCAAGCCATCCATAAATGTATCTATTTTTGTTCTCGTGCTCTTTTTCCATCAATTAGCCGGTTGTCACAAGTGTGAGGTCATCCTTTATCATAATAAATCCAAGTAATCTTGACTATTGGTCTAATTTATCTAACCAGTTTACCAGTTCACGGTATTAATCTATTCTGCGGTGATTCTGTTTTCTGGTTAACTATATATATTCTTTAGATAGATAAACAGGTATTCAGCCAAAATTACCATGTGACCAGAAGCTGGCCACAAACCCGGGTCTCTGGCCGCTGTAGTCAGACTCAAAGACAACTAGCAGCCTGTTCCCTGTAGACCGGATTATGGTTCTAGCCAGCTCCGTTTGGCTCATGATTCTACAGAAGACTGCCAGGAGTGGAGAGTTGACCGTGGCGCCATCATAGACTCGCACGTAGTCTGGGCAAGTGTCTGGAACCCAGGATACGCTGCCTTCTATTCCTTCGAGATCAAGGCTGTTTATCCTGTAGAGAATAGTATTAGATTATACATTTTCAGAGGCGAAAAATATTTCATTCTTAGTAAAAGTATAGGTTCACAACACTCTCATAGATGCCACATTCAAGTCAACATAGCAAGAGGTAGAGAAGGATACAAGTAGGAAGACAGCATCGAGAGATGGGTCGATGACAGCCTTAGAAAGTAAAAAACCGCCATGAGTGGCAGTGTGTTTTGGAGAACCTTCTTCTTCTTCTATTGTCGTCTCACTAATACCCGGTTGTAGAACAGTGTCGTGGTTTGGTCGTCTCACTAATACCAGGTTGTAGAACAGTGTCGTGGTTTTGTCGTCTCACTAATACCAGGTTGTAGAACAGTGTCGTGGTTTTGTCGTCTCACTGATACCAAGTTGTAGAACAGTTTCGTGGTTTTGTCGTCGCACTAATTCCAGGTTGTAGAACAGTGTCGTAATTTTGTCGTCTCGCTGATACCAGGTTGTAGAACTGTGTCATAGTTTTGTCGTCTCACAGATACCAGGTTGTATCCCAGTGTCGTGGTTTTGTCGTCTCACTGATACCAGGTTGCAGCACAGTGTCGTGGTTTTGTCGTCTCACTGATACCAGGTTGCAGCACAGTGTCGTGGTTTTGTCGTCTCACTGATACCAGGTTGCAGCACAGTGTCGTGGTTTTGTCGTCTCACTGATACCAGGTTATAGCCCAGTGTCGTGGTTTTGTCGTCTCACTGATACCAGGTTGCAGAACAGTGTCATGGTTTTGTCGTCTCACTGATACCAGGTTGTAGAACAGTGCCGTTGTTTTGTCGTCTCACTGATACCAGGTTGTAGCCCAGTGTCCTTGTTTTGTGTATTTATCTTGTGTTTTTCAGGTGGCTTGGGTGATGGGTTTGGTTTTTTTAGTGCAGGTTTCAGCTACATCATTTATCCATCTCTTTCTTGGTCTTCCCTTCACCCTGCTCATGAATTTTTTGCTGTAAAAAGTTGCATCATCATCATTCAATATCATAACAACAGTCGTCCCCATTAAGGATACCATTTGTAGTTATTTTGAAGCCCTATTCTGGCTTTTGCCGGGAGCCTTACATATATCCTAACGGCTGAACGGGATTTCTGGGACCTCTCAACGGGTGAGTTGCATCCGCATGGTGGCACTTTGTGTCACCGGGTGTTTATCACTTGTTTGATGTCCTGGTTGGATACAACTTACCAACTTACCAACTGACGTCGTTATTAAGACATGCAAACATAAGTATGCCCACCAAGAAACAGATTACATGTATAAACAGCATATTTATACCAACACTGAGCTACCAGTGCCAAATTTTGACTTGATCAAAAGCTAATCCATGTGCAATAAACATCTGTAAAATATGATGCCTGAGGAAAGCCACCAACGTAATCACTTGAGACAGAGGGAAAAGTGTTACTATCTCACAAAGTCTTACTATCGCAGATTCAAAAGCCTTATTATCACACTGACAAAGCCCATGTACACCATTAATCGAGAAACAGAACTTTGGTAATCTCGTTAGAATGCAGCCATAACAATAACAAATATAGCGGCTAAACTTGAAACGATCGCATGTAAAAGCAAGAGGTCGCGCTAGGAGAACATGGGTTGATGACATCAAAGACGGTCTACATTGATACAGAATGATCAATATCATTGATTGTTCCTTTCCGCTTAAAGGCAAAAGTGAAAGTTGATGATGATGAATTATTAATATTATCATCATCATCATTATTGCGAATATAAACATGACTTAAACCCGCCAATGCAAAAATAACATGTATCGGCTGCTGTGCTCTTGTAAAATACACTTGCTTGTGCGTCCTCGTGTCATGAATTGTAATCCTCTCCAAACGTTTGTAAATTATATGGTAGGCGGTGAACAATGGAAAAATTCGGGAAACTGCAAAGGCAGATGCGAAGAAAAGATCGGCCTATGACAGTGGAAACAATTTGTGGAGACAATATGGTGTACGTATGATAACAGACAAGGAGATAGGGGAGGCTTTTTTACATAAGTTTTTAACTCAGACAGAACATAATGATGTCAACATCAGGGATGCAGTTAGAAAGGAGTTAGCTGGTACCTTGAAGAATATGCATTATGCAGACATGATGCATGTGGAAGATATCAAACAAATTTTGAAAAAGGCAAAAGACACTGCACCAGGGCCTGATGGAGTCAGGTATGGTCACATGAAGGCTTTGAGCGATGTAGACCTGGCAGAGATGACCGACCGCTTTAACCAGAGTATTAGGACTGCATCAGTACCGCAGGACTGTGTGCACAGCTATCTAATCCCACTACCAAAACCTTTTTAAGGATCATTCTGAGCTTAGTGGCTTTAGAAACATCACCTTACAAAACACATTTGTGAAGGTCTTGGAGAAGATGGTCGCTGTAAAGCTGCAAGAATTTTTGAAAAGGGGAAAGCTTCTCCTAAGAGATATGGGAAGCTACAGGCCAGGAAAGGACACTGACAAATGCGGCTACTTTTGCTTTTGACGTCTATGAAAGGTTTCAGAACGGACATGAAACTATATCGTCAGCACTGGATCTCTAGGATGCTTATAACAGAGTAAGATATGACATTTTGATGACTGCGCTGTAGGAGAAGGAGGTCAGTCCCTGGCTGGTGAATTGGGTTGCAGCTGCCCTGTATTCACTTGGGGTTGCTCTCCGACTGGGCTCATATACCTCAGTCATGCAGTTTGGCACTAGGACTTTCACATGGATCCGTCATCTCGCCTGTGCTCTTTAACGTGTATGAGAGCAAGATTGCAAGCCTAGAAGCACCAAAAGTTAGACGGGTACTGACTTTTGCGGATGATATACTTGCATATAAGCAGGGGAAGAGAGAGCTACAAGCGATAGTAGACAAAGTGACTGAGTGGTGTACAGAAATTAGGGCTGTCGTTCACTCGGAAAATGCGTCTGTTTTATGGTGTTCTCTACACTACAGGATCGTTAGAGCTTATGTCCTAAGCCTTACGATAGATGGTAAAAACGTCAACAGAGAAACAAACTGGAGTATCTGGGAATTACAGTAGAAAGGATCCTATCCTTTAAGAAACTTGTGGAGAATGTTGTGACAAAATGCCAAAAAGGACTTAATGCACCTAAGACTATGGCTGCAATTAACATAGAGCAGAGAATGCTTTTCACACTATATCAGCACCGGATCCTGTCAGTCGTTGATTATGGCCTGGTAATACTTACCGTCTCAAAGAGTCAGATGGACAAACTAGAGCGCATACAGAACGCAGCTATGCGGGTCATTCTGGGTTGCACCAGAGACACCCCTTTGGTGTGAATGCGATACATTCTTGGTTTGCCGACTATTGCAGGTAGGCACAAGGTGCTGCAGGCGAAGTCATATCTCAAGGTAGCTGCAGACACAGACGTCCCTTTGAATGAAGCTCTGGGTGCAGTTAAGGGTCAACGGCTGATAAGAGGGAAATCATGGATGGCTCAGGCAGAAGACACAATCAGACAGGTTTGCATCCTTGAAAACATTAAGCGAGGAGAGGAGTTTGTAAAAAGGCCACCAGAAGGTCAGACTTATATAGGGTCATAATCACGCTGAGCCGGGAATGCAGAGACTGGCCAGCAGGTGCCACGGAGGCGGAAATTCGGCAATTAATTCAAGATAATGCTTGCTCAGAGGATTTCATTTGTTACACAGACTGTTCAGTGTCGAGAGGCAACAAGAAGTGCTTCGGTTTTCTCCGCAAAACTTAATGGTCGACATTTGGTGCAGGAGAGCCTAGCATATGATACCATAACATCCAGCTTAAGAATGGAAATGGAGGCGGTCACTGCAGCTTTCCGCTGGCTAGAGAACACGACACACACACAACGTGATTGTAACTGACTCAGAAAGCATGCCGAGGAGGGTCGGGCAGGCATGCTCCGTGCAGAGTGGCATGCTTCACTGCGGAGGACATAGGTGAGGAGCATTGTCTGGATTTTTTTTAACCAGGGAACGCCGGTGTGTTGGAGAATGAACAGGCGGACAGACTGGTTGGCTCTACACAACTTGGTGGAATACTGATGCATGATAGGGCAGACAGGGTTAGTGCCTTGTTGGAGAGCGTGTACAGTTCGGAGGAGCAGTCGGAACATCACAGTCTGGTAAGATTGATGCAGGGGGGAGCGACGAAAGGTTGTGGCAGATGCTCGAAGCTCAGAGAAATGGCAAGACGGACGTCCTGTTTGATGAATGCAGTGATGTTACCTACCTGAGATCAATGATCTCGCCCTCTTTGGCTGCGATGGTCCATTTACACTTTGCGTTGTTTGGATAGTTGTTTGGATAGTTAGGAGAGGATATCACCCCACTCTGTTCAGTCAGTTCTCCTACACATGCTAGAAGCCAAAACATTTCAAATTAGCATCGGTTTGAGCTTACTTATTATCGTGAAAAAATATCATTTTCAAGACTTTTAAATGTCTTCTTTACAATACCACAATCACGAACGACAACATGATTATACAGAAGGTCATCTTTCAGAAGTAATGTTAGTGATTTATTAATATCGTACCCCAATCAGAGAAAATCCACAGGTCACGGGACAGTCTAATATTTTAGGGGTGGTAGATAGGCTAAATGCAGTCGTGAGACCTGAGCTGCATGCGTTCCTGGGACCTAGGTTTTATTTTCTCTTTAGACGCTGGTGGGTTGGGGTTAGGGCCAGTTCTAGATATGTTAGGGTCATTAAAAACATCGGATAGCCGGGAAACCTAGTCTTACTACCCTCTAAAATGTTAGACTGTCCCGTGACGTCATATGGGTTAGGATTTAATAAAGAACTGTAATGTCTTCTCTAGTGCTAATATCTTTTTCTTAGTTAGTTAGTTAGTTAGTTAGTTAGTTAGTTAGTTAGTTAGTTAGTTAGTTAGTTAAGTCAAGAATTGACATCACAGTACTCAGGGCATTCCCATGCCTGCTCCGTCCTCATCTTCAGCAACCAGCGCAGAGTTCCAATACTGATGGTACCGGTCACAATCTGGTTATAGGTCCGTCTCGCCTTTCCTCTGAGTTAACATTTCCTGTTTAACATTACACGAGTATGCCACAGCACACTTGTTACATCCAGTGTATGGTGTTAGACACATGCAATAGCAGTATCGGCACTTTTTTTTTTTTTTTTTTTTTGGTAAAGGGGGGGGGGGGGGGGGGGATATTTGACGCTTTCATTTTCCAGTATATTTTCTCGTACCCATTTTAGATTGTCTAGCTAGTAGTCCAGGGCATTAGTAGTAACATTCGCTCAGACGTGACACAGAAACGAGCACCTTTAGAGCGCCAGTCAAGTTTTTTCATGTGCCTAGATACCTATATTTCTGTACTTGTCCTATAATTACACCTTCAACTTTTATTATACATTTAGGCATCATTATTTTCTTGGAAATCACCATTACTTCTGTCTTCCCATTATTCAAACTGAGGCTCCTTGTATGACTTTCTACCACCACCAGTGCCTGTAGTTCTTTCTGCATCCCGTCTGGAGTGTACAATTACATACATAGAGCCTCGGTGGCGTAGTGGCTAGACCCAGGTCAGCTAGATAAAAGGTCTTAGGCACACTATTTTTCGCAATGATATGTTTATCGAAAAGTTTAGTGTCTGTAAACTTTATCGTATAGTTTGATGGACATACGAGTTTACCTATATATGTTTACAAAAAAGTTATCCACCATATTATAACATTACTAATAAAAGTATGGACCGTAAAAATGTAATATCTGTATGCGTACACCTAATTCAAATATATAATGATAGTGGCATATACGTGTGGCTAGCTGAGTCGAGTGTTATATATATATATATATATATATATATATATATATATATATATATATATATATATATTATACACACACATATATATATATATATATATATATATATATATATATATATATATATATATATAATACACACACACACACACATATATATATATATATATATATATATATATATATATATATATATAAGGACCTCATTCGTGTGTCTATTAAAATATATGATCAAGTATACATACAATAAAAATGTTGGTAAAATATGTAATTGTGAAAATCTTGTGTCCTAAAAACCATATAAGAAATCATTTTTTTTATCTTATTGGTGCATTGGTTATTCAATACAGCTAAGCTTGTGGATGAGCGCACTTTTTCGTGTAGCACTAATGGATTTTATGGTAAATCCTTCAGTGATTCGTCACTGAAGCAAACCCTTCTCTAGTCTTTCATAACGGTCAACTGAAGATGCTGGTTTGCCCACTGCAATCGGTTCTGGCGATGCCGATCGGTAAGAACAAGACGTCTTCAAATCAAACGGCCAGCCTCATGCAACGTGTTTCTGTCCGTTTTAATCAGTTGTTTTCAACCTCTCCAATGCGGCGTCCCTTTAATACAGTTCCTCGTGTTGTGGCGACCCTTTAATACAGTTCCTCGTGTTGTGGCGACCCTTTAATACAGTTCCTCGTGTTGTGGCGACCCTTTAATACAGTTCCTCGTGTTGTGGCGACCCTTTAATACAGTTCCTCGTGTTGTGGCGACCCTTTAATACAGTTCCTCGTGTTGTGGCGACCCTTTAATACAGTTCCTCGTGTTGTGGCGACCCTTTAATACAGTTCCTCGTGTTGTGGCGACCCTTTAATACAGTTCCTCGTGTTGTGGCGACCCCCAACCAAACAATTATTTGTGTTGCTACTTCATAACTTGAGTGAATGTGTTTTTTCTAAAAGTCTTTGATGACCTCTGCGAAAAGGTCGTTATACCCACAAAGGGTCCCGACACATAGGTTAAGAACCGCTTGCTTAAACCGGAATGCGACGAGCTGTTAGCAGTGACTGTGTTAGACGAATACGCGAATCGATCCCTGAGATGACGGATCTGAATGAACCGTTCTTCGGTAGATGTTATGACAGCGGTTCTTGCACTGCGCAGCCGGTTTGCAACTGAGTCATTTTTTTTTAAATCTCATCCAAAGGTGACAAATAGTATTCCTAATTACATTTTAACAAACGTTAGTCTCTCCCCCCCCCCCCCCCAAAAAAGAAGAAGGTCCCGTTCCATTGATAAGTTTTTTGGACTGGTCTACCTTGGTGTAGGTTACGGGTGTGCCGCTCTGTTGTTAGCTTTATAGATTGTCTTGCATTTACGTATTAATTCCGAGAAAAAGAATGCCTGTGACATAGGTTTCATCACTCTATAAAGGGGTTTTGTGTTAGACCCAGTTTGTCGATGTTTTTAGAGTGTTAAAAGAGCTAGCATGCTGAATTATACAACATGCTATATCAACGGCATTGCGGAACACCCCGTAACATTGTGCCAAGTAGACGGAGCTCAAAGTTCACTAATCAGAAGTGAGCTAGTGTGTAACACTGCAAGTAGGGAGAGTAACGTTACTATTACCCTAATTACATTACGTTGTCAACCACTGCACTGGTCGGCAAATCGCCGCACTCTCCTCTTTAGAGACCTGAGTTCGGCTCTGCCAGTCGGCCACTAATCGGTTTAGATTCCGAAAAACATGGTTCTTTAAGGGTTCTTGACAAGAAATTTGGCTCTAAAAAAAAGTTAATCGTCCTACTTATTGTCTCTTTTGACTGATGAGTTTGCCGACCACTTGGTTAGCATATAAACCTCTAATAATGTTGAGTCCTTGTTCTGTAGTGAGAAGAGCCGTATTTGTGCACTAAATTTTAAAACTAATTTATTTTATAGGCATTTAATAGCATGTTCAAGAAGCGGCTGGCAGCTTGATTAGAACGATGGGCTCCCAAGCGGATGAACCGAGTTTGAATCCTTGGTAAGGCTGGGGATTTTTTTCTGTCAGGGAAAAAAAACCTCACCTGCACAGTCGTGGCCACAGCACTAGCCATGTGGTCGTAAATCCTTAGGCTTAAAGACCCCCCCCCCCCTGCCCCCCCCCCTGCCTAAACCGCAAAAGTGTTACAATAAAGGCATTAATTGGCAGTTTTTTTTTTTTTTTTTTGGGCAGATAGAATTGTCAGTTAGTTTTTGTTCTCCCAAGTTGTAATTGTTTCTTGTGAACCTGTCATGCGTTATTGTCAAACATGTTGTTTTGACCACTGTTGCTGTTTCCGTGTTCACAATTATCAGCAGAGTAAAGTTCAGGGCCACATTGATCAGGTTAAAATGGCAGGATTTTTTCCCTATCACTGCAGCAAGCTTCACTTTTTCATATGTTGCGTTGCTTTTTGTAGACAGTATTTATTTTATAATGACCAAAAAGACAGACATAATAACATTATAGATAATTATTGTAACAAGTATAATAACTAAAACAATTTGATAGCAAAATTATTACTCTAGTCTGGACATTCAGTTTATACAAACATCCCATACCCGTAGACTGGCCTTGACCTTGTCTGGCTGCAAAAACAAAGCACACTAGTACAGAACGTACCAGGAGCCACATATTTGGAATCAGTGCCTTTGCAGTAGCCAAGTTGATTTGTTCTTAGATAGAAAAATAAATTATTACATTATAATTTTATTCTCAAAATTTAAGTAGGAGAAATACAACAGGGAATGTTTCAGGAAGTAAATGAGATCGGTATGATGTTTACACATCATTCGCTGAGCGTCGATTGGTCTATAAAATATAGATGCAAAACGATAATCATGTGAGGTGAAACAAGTGCTTTTCTTAAAATGCACATGTCCACAGCTATTCTGTTAATGCTATTCAAAGGCATCTATATCCATCTATATTCTCTTCATGTCAGTCAGTCTATGTTAACATGAGGCATTCACAAGTGACCTCCATTGCTGCTGGTCTGTTGTTTTTTTTATTTTTTTATCTGTGGTATTCCGTGTCATTTTACATTTCTTTATTTCTCTTTCTATTGTCATTCCCTGGATTTCCTTAGATCACCATTGTCTCCTTTTTCATCTGCCACCCATCAGAGGACTATCCTTGCGAAAATGTCATTTTGCAGACATGTTAAAGCCATCTCAATCTTCTTCCTTTGATAACTTCTGCCGGTGATGAACCGTTCGTTTTCATAGTAAGTTCTTTATTACAGGATCTTGGTTGGCCAATATTTTCGCAGAAAACTCCTCAAACATTTTTTGGGGAAAGCATCAAGTTTATATGCAATTCCTGTTGTCACTTCCCATCACTCATTGTTGTATAACAGTATTCCTAACATGTTGCTCTTGAATAATCTGAGTTTTGTCTTCAAGCTGAGTCCCTGTAACTTGCGTATACTGTTAAGCATGGCAAATGATTGGTTTGCTTTGTTTTTTTCTTGATGTATCATCATCATCATCGCCATCAATTAGGTGCCGTCGCTACATTAGAGGTTGACTGTTTGGTAAGTCTTTCCAGGATCCATATCTGAAGTAACAACCTACTTCCAAATTTAAAAAAAAAAAAGTTGAAAATATACATCCCTGCTGACTCCCGTACCAACTTTCTGTTGTATGATTTTCGCAGGCTACGTTGCAATCAAACTCTTAATTATCTATTTTGCTTCGGTCACCTTTACTATTTTCTGTAATGGACAGAAATTCCCTCCATCCCAAGCAAAGTTTACATAGGTAACTGGTGAAACAACAACAAAATCAAGAAGAAGAACTAGAAGATCGGCATGAAGTCTACGAAGAGCAAGAAGTATATATGTCGGTATATAAGTTATTGATATTGGTCTCAGTAAAAGTCGACCCTCTGTTGATATCATTGGTACCACACTTACTTATATTGACTCGTGTGTACTGTATCTATCTGGGTGCAGTACGTTTATCTATTTTTACTCGTTTGTACTCTAATAACCTTGATGCGGTACACTTACCTATTTTGACTCGTAGTACTGTATCTACCTGGATGCAGTACACTTACCTATTTTAGCTCGTTTGTACTGTATCTACCTGGGTGCGGTACACTTACCTATTTTGACTCGTGTGTACTGTATCTACATGGGTGCAGTATCTCAGGACTTGTAGGATGAACCGTCACCTAGTATTTTATATAACACGACAACCCGGATCTTCCTGCATTTCGATTCCTGAAAGACGAGACCCACTTCTTGTGAAAAGACACATACAAATTACAATTTATTCTTTTTTTACGACGCGGTAGTACCTTGACCTCTTCTCGATGTGAGACAGCCAAAATCATCATCCTGTTGTGTCGATTATACGTCTCATAGAGACCGCAGTCTATTCCTTAACTTGGTGATTCTTCTCCTTTTTCTTTTTCTTAGCGTTCATCAGCTCTAAACTCCGGCCGATAATTTTGGTTGTTGTCCATTCTTGGACTTTGAGCTCAGTCCAGAACTTGAGTTGTGTGTGTGCATATCTGTTTTAGTGATCTGGCTTATTTGTTAGCTGACTGGTAATTCATTGCCTTTCAGACATACGCACTCTTGACTTAAATGGAAACACCCTCATTAGTCGCATCCTACGACATACTTGGGAGGGAGGGGGGGGGGGGCAGTGCGTCTATTCTTTGTTCTTCAGAATTGAGCCACATGGGAAACTCAGTTCTATCTTTTTGACATCATCTTTGGAATCAAGTTCAGTATCTCTTATTGATAAAAAGGTAAAGTTAAAAGTCGGGAGATGTGAACCAGCGTCATTGCACACGGTTATAAACCATAAGTGCTCTGCCACCAGTACGGACAGCTGACAAGAAACTGTCGGCCTGTGTCGCCATCCGCACGTAACTCTGTAGCTACAGCGACGTTCCCCCATTTACCTCAGAGTGTCACTCTGGTACCCATTTCCTAGAGGCTGGGTGAACCCCGGGAGTCGCCCGGTTTTGAACACTGACCGTGGGCTGCAGCGAGTCACAGCTGGATTTGAAAGCGAGCCTCCTATCGACTGCGCTAACGCGGCTCCCGATCTCTTATTGATGTTCGTTTGTTTTCTGTTTAGCATCCTCTTTTCCACAGCTTACGTCTTTCCTATTTCAATACCTGTGTCATTCTCTTCATAATCTGCTGAATATTTCTATGTTTTCGTTCTCTAGTAACTAATGTTATCATTGGTTATCCAGACAACTGTCTTATTTACCCGCTTCTCTTCAGTTCGTCCCATTCAGTATTCGCCAGTTTCGTCAGGCATTTGTTTTTGAATGCATTGTAATACTTTCATTTTATGTCTCTAGATCTTCCCTGTAGCAACATACGGATGTGAGTCATGGACTATCTCCCAGTCCTTTCCTTAAGAAAGAGAATAGGGGCTTTTGAGACGAAATGCTATAGAAAGATTCTCAGAATATTTTGGACAAAGAAAAGGGGAAATACTGACATCTTGAAAGATCTGAACATCTTGGAAGATTGGCTAATAAACAGCATCCTGTCTCGGAAGCTGAAATATTTTGGTGATATCAAAACCAACAAAGGATAGGAAAAAATTATAGCAGAAGGCATGGTACCAGGATGGAGGGGCAGGGGCCGACCGACACGAAGATGGGCACAGGATATAAGTGACTCCTTGAGAATGAAAGTGCATGAGGCGGGAGAGTTGGCGACAGACCGAGTTTCTTTCAGGCAGACCGTGATGAGAGCGAAGGACCTTCAGCATGATGATGTTGATGATGATGATTCCCTAAAGTCTTTCAAAGAACTTGTATACTTTTATACATGTTTTTTTGATTGCACCATATCCGATTTCAACTGTTTAAAACGTTTATAGGAATGATAACGGAATCACAGATACACCTGTATACATATACAAATAGTTATGCAAAGGGCCCTTTTCTACGCCTTTAGGCGTATTGGGTATATAGGGCTAGACCTTCATTTCTATAGACCATTTGACACTTGGTGGGTGATGTGTTTAGCATCACGCCGGCATATAAAAATACAGACATATATATATATATATATATATATATATATATATATATATATATATATATATATATATATATGTTTTAAAAAAAAAAACAAATACAGATGTACGCTCATTCATGTACATATTCATTATTAATTCAGAACTGCTTCTTTACTGAGTCTCTTTAAGAGTGCCGGAACATTGGGGAATTTAGCTCATGTGCCAAATTTCAATTTGCAGAAGCTGGAGAACCCCCGCCACCAATCTCAATTTGTAAAAGAGCTCCACCCCTTCCCCCTAATCTAAATTTGTAGGAGGCAGAGCTTTCCTCCTCCAGTATAAAATTGTAGGAGGCAGAGCTTTCCTCCTCCAGTATAAATTGTAGGGGCAGAGCTTTCCTCCTCCAGTATAAATTGTAGGAGGCAGAGCTTTCCTCCTCCAGTATAAATTTGTAGGAGGCAGAGCTTTCCTCCTCCAGTATAAATTGTAGGGGGCAGAGCTTACCACTGCTCCTCCCCCTTAATTTAAATTTTCAGGAAACAGGACTCTCCCCCCCCCCCCCCCACCCAATCTAAATTTGTAGGAGGCAGAGCTTACCTCCTCCAATCTAAATTTTTAGGAGACAGGACCCCCCCCCCCCCCACTCAGTCTAAATTTATAGAAGGCAAAGCTCCCTACCCTAAACTAAATTTGTAGGCGGCACAACCCCCCCCCCCTCCCCCAATATAAATTTGTAGGAGCTAGAGCTCCCCCCCTCCCCCCCCCCCCCATCGCACTCAATATAAATTTGTAGAAGGCATTCCCCCCCCCCCCAATCTAAATTTGTGGGAGGCTGGGTTACCCCCTCCAATCAAATTTTTAGGATGCAGTCCCCCCTCCCCAGGCGTAATCTAAATTTGGAGAAGACAGTTCTCTCTCTCTCCCCCCCCCTCCCCCAATCCCCAATCACCATCCCCAACCTTTCTAGCACATTTAGCCTTCCTAAACAACGTTCGTCTTTCAGTTGCCTTTGAACTGCTTTTGTTTCTTCAGTCCGTCTATTTTCCATGTTAGTCCTTTTTTGTGTGATTCTATGTCCTGTTCTTCTAATGATGCGACCAGTAGATTGTCATCTACTTTGTCTTAGATTATCATCTACTTTGTCTTAGATTATCATCTACTTTATCTTAGATTGTCATCTACTTTGTCTTAGATTGTCATCTACTTTGTCTTAGATTGTCATCTACTTTGTCTTAGATTGTCATATACGTCTTATAAATAATACACGACATGTTTCTTATTACCCCACCTCCCCCCCCCCTCCCCCCCTTTTTTTTAAATCATCCCTTTTAATATACAATAGACTTGTTTAGAAATTTGATTTCAAATGCATTTAACTTAGTTCTGTGTCTTTAAAGGTTTTTCAACTTTCACTTGTGTTTGTTAAATCCGAAATAACATAGTTTGAAAACTTGGTTTAAATATATTTCCGTGGTATTGATTATGATACAAATGTAAGCCCCCATCCCCAACTACCTTTTTCTTTCACCTCGTTTTTTTCCCCAACCTTGGAAATAAAATTTATAATGGGCGAACCACAAACTATTTCTGGTGTGTAAAAAACAAAGGTTGATTGTGCCAGTACGCAAGATGACA